CCCCGGATAAGCTGGAGGAGGTGGCTGGGGAGAGGGAGGTCTGGGCCTCTTTGCTTAGGTTGCTGCCCCCGCGACCCGGCCCCGGATAAAGCGGATGAAGATGGATGGATGGTAATAATTTAAAAAAATATTTCTTCATGTCATTATGCAACTAGGGGTGACATGGGCCACGAGATTGAGACACAGACATTAGAGCCTCCTAATGCGTGTTTTGTTTGGTTTTCATCGGCGTGGAATCACCAAAATAGAGAGGGCATAGCCTAACACATGAAACAGGAAAAAAACACTGTGTAATCCCTTTACTTCAACAAAGTAACTGTATTCTAAATACCACCTTTTTAAACAGTAACTGTAACGGAATACAGTTACTCATATTTTGTATTTTAAATACGTAACGCTGGTACATGTACTCCGTTACTCCCCAACACTGAGTACAAGTGCTATAAAACTTTAAGAAATAATAATCAATCTTAAACTGGGAAAATCACACAGTATCATCTGTGCTGACTCCTGCTGCTATCCCTCGAATGGTTAAGGGTGAATGCTTTAGCTAATCTCCATCTCCATCCCAAGTGATCATATTCTCTACTGGCATTCTCACAGCAGGAAGTATAATCCTTGTATGACATCACCAGATTCGATTTCCTTACGTTTCTGGTCCTCGGCGATGACTGGGTTGCGGAGCTCGATGAACTCTCCTCCTCCAATCTTGTTAACGGCCTGGACCCTGAAGTAGTACTCTCCATTGTGGATGAGATCTTTGACCACCCAGCTCACCTTGCACTCTCCTGACATTATGTTGACGTATGTCCTCCTGCCGGCCTCACGCCGCTGTGCGGCACCACAAAAGGAACAAATGAAAAAACACATGAGCATTTTATTTTCACTGTCAGATTTCTAATGTGATCAGTAAAAACACGCTGCCATCTCAGACCTGCAAGACATAGTGAAGAATTGGACTACCACCATCATAATCTGGTGGATCCCATGAAACTTTACAGGAGCTCTTTGTGATCTCAGAAGCCACAATTTCCTTGCAAGGACCAGGAAGCCCTGAAGACAAAGACATAGAGATATGAAAAAACATTGGCTCCAGGTTCAGTGTGTCTCTCCAGTGATGTACAAACTGGCCATGTGTGTTTAAATACCGATGACTTTGACATTGATGGTGGCACTGGCACTTCCCAGCTTGTTTTCTAGTGTCACTTTGTACACTCCAGCATCGGCATGAAGACTGCTGTCAGTCTCCAGGTGACAGGAGGTATACTCCTTCCTGTTGAGCACCAACCAAGAAAGAAAAGACACAAAGCCATTTTAATGGAGCTCATGTTGGGCTTTTTCCCAGCAAAAAAAGATCAGTTTTCTACTGTTTGTTTGAAGAGTAATTTCAATTTAGTATTCTTTAAAGAATATGTTCTTCTATTATATCAGTCATTCCATCTCAAATCAGTACATCCATGAGGGTCTGAAAGGCGTCTATAAATAAAATGTATTATTATTATTATTTTATTACATGTTTGGTAACATTTCTACTTAAACAACTCCAATTTTCTTAAATGTTTTATGGTCCAAAGTTTACCCATATATAGTGAGTGCTGTGAAATTTTAGTTTTATACATTAGAATTAGTGCTGTCAGAGTTACTCTCGTTATAATGACGTTAACGTCATGACCGCATTCACACGGCAGATCTCTGTTAGCACGGATTGGCCCATGTTAGGGGCTGCACGGCACTAACGCGCTAACAGGCTAACCGTGCTAACACTTTGACGCTGTGCAACCCTAAAACATGAAATTTTAGTTTTTCACATTAAAATTAAAAAAGAAATATTTTTTAAATGGTCACTTTCAGACCATTGTTTTGCTAACTGAAATATGAATATATGTGTCAAAAACTAATAAAAACTGGTCTTTCTAACAGCTGAAATAGATCAATTTGGGACAGATACGCACATAAAAAAATTGCCTACTAACCCCTCTGACCCTAAATCCCTAACCTATCCCTAACCCAACCCTAAACCTGGCATGACTTCTACAGGTAAGCAGAGATCAGGCATGTAAATACATATAAATTCCCCATTCTTTATATTCCCAGATCGGGTGCTAGTAGAGGCTGGGAGTTTGAGGGTCCTGCTCAGTTTCTTGGACAGCACTCTTCTACCTCTTAGTATATTTTAAACTTAATTTTAAATATCAGACTGAATGCATTAAGTCTCAAACTGTTGGGTAGAGCAAGTGTCAAAAATGAAAACTATGAATATGTTTTAACAACATTATTTTTCAGTTATCACAAAAAGCAATACCTGGAAATGCTAGAATTTTTTTCTATATTTTTCTTACCTTAACTTGCCACTACTCAGACATTTACACATCGGTCCCAAATTAAGGATCTTGATGCATTTTGATGGTAAGAAAAATGAGTGAAAATTTTAGACTCAAATATTCATGTTCAAACTTTTCCTCACATTTAAATGTGTGAAAAATGGCTTGAAAGTGGGTGGATTGTAGATTTTTATTTATTTTTTTGTTTGTTATATTAGGATTAAATTTCACAGCAAGCATACAGTTTTTATGCAAATCAGAGATGGATGAGTGTAAGGCCTGTGCTGGTGTGAAATGAAATAACCGATATGACAAAAGTTCTAGATGAAAGGATTTGCACAGAACACTCACCTAAAGCCAAGGCGTTCATCCGCCTTCAGCTCTTTGCCATCTTTGTGCCAGGTGATTTTAGGTAAGGGGACTGCTCTAAAGGGAACTGGAATGTGCAGCTTTTCTGTTTCCACAACAACTAGATCCAGAGTCTGGAATTCCAGAGTTGGGTTGCCTGAAAACACGGAAAAACAAAATCTTTCTCAGCCACAAATGAAGGGCACCGGTGACTCTCAGAAACAAATATGAAGATTCTTACAGTCAGAGTCTTTGGCAAAGACATTTTCAGAGATGTCCGACGGTTCGCTCTCTCCGATAGCGTTAACGGCCCTCACTCTCAGAATGTACTCCTTTTCAGGGGTCACACCCTCCTCTACACGGTACTTGAGCTCCTTCACTGGACGGGAGTTCACCCTCATCCACTTCTCCGTTCCAGCCTCGCACATCTCAATGTGGTATCCTCTGACAGGGGCACCGCCATCTGTTTGTGGAGGTTTCCAGGCAATTGCCAGGAAGTCTCGGCTGGCTCCAGTCACGTGTAATTCAATGGGTGGTGATGGGATGCCTGGAGGGGAGAATATAAACTCAGACTCTCCGCACTTTAAATTGTTTTTACTGTTACAATATAATTATTAATGAATTGAAAGCCTTTATTGTCATTATACATAGTATAACGAGATTAGAAACAGCTCTATAAAAGTGCACACGTGCTTATAGCATTTTATAAAAACTATACAATAATTTAACTATACACTTACTGTAAATATATGAAGCTTTATTTATTTTTTTATCTATTTCCTGAGCTGACCTGTTGGATCTTCTATGGTGAGAATCTCGGTGGGTTCACTTGGGTGTCCACTGCCAGCCTCGTTCTCAGCTCGGACCTGGAACTGAACCTCTGTTCCCTCAATGACGTCTGTTACCCTGTACTTACAGTCTGGACCCGAGGTCTTCCCACATTTCACCCAGCGAGTTCCAAGCTTCTCTTTTTTCTCAATGGAATACCTGAACAGCCAATGGAATACAAGGGAAATGGACCTTTATACATACTAGGTCGAGGAAACAAATCTGCTGCTTCTGCTGCAGGTGCCATTTACATGGTGATCTACTAAGTGCCTATCCTGCATGAGAAACGTAAGGAAATCAGTTTTGCAGAAATGTTTAAGTTGCACGGGACTTAAGTTGTGCAATGTCACATACAGGGTACAAGATAAAATGTGATAAAATGGTAAAATGTAACCTGAGGATGGGTCTTCCACCATCATTTTTCGGTGCCTCCCACTGCAAGTCCACATATCTTTTGGTCACAGCACTGACAGCGAGAGCGTAGGGTGGGCCAGGAGTACCTGGAAATGAGGAAACATTATCGTCGTTCTTTGACAGATCAGCAGTGAGGATTTTCATTGCCTTCAAATTGAAATGATTTGTGCGACTGCGCATCCTTTCTAACTTACTGAAAGTGTCTTTTGCCAGCACAGAGTCCTCCATCTCACAGAAGGGTCCGACACCCACAGCGTTCTCAGCAGCAACACGGAACACATAAAGCGACCCTTCATTGAGCGGTTTCACGTCGCACTTCAGCTCTTTGACTGTGGTGTCCACAGTCTGCCAACCTTTACGCCTCACATCACGTTTCTCCACAATGTAGTTGGTGATGGCTGAACCTCCATTGCGCTCAGGAACCGCCCATTTCAGCTCAGCACTGTTCCTGCTGATGTTGACAACCTCTAGCCAGCGTGGAGCTGAGGGAGGGTCTGGGGAAAGGAAGACAAACCACAGTTTTAATTTGTCGGTGTGACCTGGCCAGCTTCAGAGCACCAGCTGTCGGATGTGTCGCCCATATACCATAGTGTACCATGCTTATTCTCTACCAGTTTGTCTTACATGGAAATGTTTTGACTGTTTAAAACTTCAAATATTCCAACAATTAAAACTAAATTTAAACAATTAAACTCAATTTCAGAAAATGTGAAACTGTGCTTTACATGTCACATCGTTCGTCTTTTCCAGATGAAAAACACATTTCATTTAAAAAACCTGTTTAATTCAGGGTGAACGTGCTCAGAGTTTGAACACTGATCAGCTGTCCTACAACAGTAAATGCTGAGCTGCCAGTCTGAGAGTTCAGCTGTTGAACGGCCCTCCTGTCTTGTACTCCTCACATAGACATTTTCCAGAGGGCGTTCCATTTTTACCAATTATCCAAGCGTGCATTTAAGTTTTGGTTTTCAGTTTTGTTACTGAAGCTATGATATATCCCACTGTACTGATGCTCATGATTGGACATAGATTTAAAAAACAAAAAAACCCACCCTGAATAGATGCAAAATTTTAACCTTATTTTGAACATAAAAAATAATAATCAACCCACCTCTGTGTATTTTTATGGCAGTTTTATTAGCACTCTGAGAGGCTTATGTGGGAACCTTTCTCAGAGAACCCCACGTATGCTTATTGTACAGTTAACCGTTTGTGTTCTGGACATTTGTTTTTATTTCATGTTTGTCTAAATTGTCTGACAGCACCTGTGTTATAGAACCACACACACTAAATATCTATGTTTATTTGTGTGTGTGTTATAAATTGCACATTTTTTTAAGCTCACCCCTCTTGTATTATGTGGCAGTCAGTGCAGAACAGATCATTGATCTATGTTTTACTCCAGTATGTTTTTCTGTTTTTAGATCATGAGTTATTCTTACTGAGTCTCTCTTTGCAGAGCACTGGGTCACTGGGTTCACTGGGTTCGCTCTCTCCAGCCACGTTAACAGCTCGCACTCTGAACGAGTACTCCTGCTTCTCCATCAGGCCCTTTAGGAAATATTCCAGCATGGGGATGTTCTCTGCCACGCGGATCCAGTCCGTGGTGCCGGTCTTTAGCATCTCAATGACATAGCTATCAATCTTTGCTCCGCCATCATGCTCTGGTTTGGTCCACATTAGGAAGCATGACGTCTTAGCTACGTCCTTCACTGTGGGTTTGCCAGGGGGCCATGGAGGGTCTGGTAGGAAAAACAACCGTGACATATTTATCTATTCTAAACAGATTTAAAGTGCTTATAGAAGTAAGGGAAATTTAGTACCAATAGGATCTTTAACAAGGATTGGATCTGTCTCCTTGCTGGGTTTTCCAGTTCCGGCCAGATTCTCAGCAAGGACTCGGAACTTATACTTCTTCCTGGTTGGAAGACCTTTGACCCTAATGAAGAAAAGTACACTGTAATCTACCAAAGAAGCTTAATGCAAGAGTCAGTTTTGAAATTTGACAGCAGAGTAGCTAGGCTAACCTTTTTTTGTGTCTTTGACTGGTCAAAAAAGTTATAGCATATGAAAGTTCTCTTTTTACCTGCATTTTAATGCAAATATAAAAAACTTCAATAACGTTTTGTTTTTCAGTTTATACTGTTGCCTCATTTCCATTGTCAGATGTTGAATAATAGAGATGATGCATAATCTTAGTTTCCCATATGCTTTTACACAAATCAATTGTTTTTAACTTTGGGAACCATCACAAGGTGCAGTGCATTTCGGATGAAGACTCAGTGGCCAGTATTAACACTGCTGTGTTGCTGCTGTAGTGTTGCAAATGTGAACGATGGAGATTGTTGTGGAAGTTTTCCATTAAGTAAAGCCTGCAGACGAGCGGTGAGTGGTAGCTAACATTCTTTAATCACAAACAAAGAACAGAAAACCAAGCTTGGTGGAGCCTGCATGATCGTGGGGCAGACTCAGTTAAATACCGTCTCCAGGAACTAAAGGCAGTACACAGCTGTTTCACAGCTTAAGGTTTGCACTCCCTTGCTACCTCCCAGAGTCCTCGAAGAGACAAAAGACTCTTCCTGTGGAGTTGTCTGCTTGTCTGCTTCCCCCCAACTTCCTTACCAGACCCCCACCATTTGTCTAAGTAAGTAAGTAAAATTAATTTATATAGCACATTTCACAGATAAAAATCACAAAGTGCTTTACAATAAGATCAGACATACAAGTTAAAATTAATTAAAAGCCTGTTTGTATAAAAATGTCTTCAGCTGCTTTTTAAAGGAGTCAGTAGAGTCTAGACAGCGTAAAGACAACGGCAGAGAGTTCCACAGCCTCGGTGCCTGAAAAGCCCGATCCCCAGGTGTTTTAAACCTAGTACGTGGGACCACCAGTAGCCTCTGACTTGAAGACCTAAGTGCTCGGGATGAAGCATGAGGTTTCAACAGGTCAGAGATATACTGGGGAGCTTCACCGTGCAGAGCTCTAAAAGTTACACCTAAAATTTTAAAATGAACCCTAAACTGCATGTTAAAGAGACATGCTAAAATCCAGGGATTTAAATCATCAGATCTATTTGCCAGACAATTTTTCAGCTCGGTGTAAGAGACTGAAGCACAGCTGTGACGGCTGTATGAATTGATTGCTTCAGTCAGCCTTTGTCTGTTGGCATCAAAATCACTGAATTAACTTTTTTTCTAATAGGTTAACTTATGGGACAGGTGCTTTGTGAAAACAACAAAAGTAACCAGATCAGTTCAGTCAGTTTCAGTCTGGTGTTACTAAACCACACATTTGTCCGTGTACAGGGGTCGCTCATAAATTAAGTCTAAAGTTCTTATCTCCAAAAATGGATTTGATCCAGAGAGTCCTGGATAGAAGGTGAACCTGGTAACAGTGAAAACCTTTTAGATGCTATAACTTGTTTTGACCAGCCACCTATCCCACGTAGTTGTACTGTGTTTTTATAGTTAAGAACACATTTCATTTCAGTGAAGTATCAGAGAAAACAGAAAACATCAGGAGCACCAGTACTTTTTCTAATATTCCTGAGTTTAAACTTTTCTGTTGGAAATGTACATCAGCACACTAATCTATCAAAGAAGCTCAATGTATAAACATCAGTTCTGAAATGTGACAGCTAGGCTCACCTGTAGTTTGTGTCTTTGACTGGCAGCTTGTTGCATCTTATCCACTTGTCATGGTCAGCTTCGTATCTCTCCACCCAGTATCCAGTAATTGGGCTTCCTCCATCCTCATCGGGCTCATACCAGTTCAGATTCAGAGAGTCCTTTGCAATATCTGAAGCCTCCAGCTTGTAAGGAGCCCCGGGAGTATCTGAGGACAAGATCAGATGCATCAGGTTAGTCCAAGTCATGAAGACTTGATCTACTTGACCCAACTAGGGACCTGAAAGTAATAAAGCCTGATTATGATAAATGTTCCACACTAAACTCTTCAGTTAGCTGAGAATCGACAAGAACAAGAATCTCTCACAGGATCTTATAAAAAAAACCTGTACGATTAAGCTGTTTTTCTATCTTAACCTCCTAAGACCCGAACTCTTCCACGGCAGCATTTTTAATTTCTCTTTGATATTTGGGCTGATTGGGACCTGATGAATGTAAAAACAAAGAATTACCAGATTATTTTTTTTACCTGATTTTTGTTTCTAAGAAAAATGAGAGCCACATATGAGGATATTCGTTTAAAATTTCATTAGAACAGTAGCAGGATAATGTCCTCGTAAGTGGACATCAGGCCCTTGTAGAGCAAAATTGAGTATTATGGTCTAAATAACCCAAAATGTGATGTCCACATATGTGGACGCAGGTCCTAGGAGGTTAATGCTGCATCAGACATTTCAATCCAAACAAACAGAAAAAATACTACTGTATATGAATCTATACATAAAAGAAAACTGGAAATGGACTCATCTACAAATGGAAATTTCTGTTTCTAAGATATTAGATGTAAGGTAGCCTACCAAAGGGGTATTTAGCAGTGATTGATGGGTGTTCAGCAGCTGGACCAACACCAAACTGGTTTTCAGCAAATACTCTGAAGATATAGTCCTTGAACTTGATCAGACTGGTAGCTTTGTATGTGGTCTGCTTCACAGTGGAGGACAGTCTGTGCCAGATCTCACTATCAGCAGCTCGCCGTTCAACAATATAGTTGGTAACTTTGGAGCCACCATCATCACGTGGAGGGTTCCAAGCCAGAAAGCAGGACTCATTGGTGATTTCAGAAATGTCAAAAGCAGCAGGGGGACCAGGCTTATCTGTTTTGAAGAGCAGATTTAAAATTGTAATCAGCAGAAACGGAGAATCTGTACCTTTCTCGGTCGTTAATTGATCTTACCAAGGATGTTGACATCCACAGTGGCAGTGGCACGACCGCTGCTGTTGGTGGCTTCGATGATATAAGTGGAACTGTCATCTCTCTTTGTCTTGGCGATGGTGACCATGGAGTGTCCTGGCTTGGTGTCGATGGACACCCTGTCGTCTGGTTTGAGGACCAGGTCGGCTTTGGTCCACTTGACTCGTGGCTCAGGCTTACCTGTCACATCAGCAGGAAGTTCAATCTTGCTGCCAGCCTTAGCAGTCAGACCAGCCAGAAGCTTGGCATCCAGCTGGATCTCTGGAGGCTCTGCATAGAAATTAAGGACAAGAAGTCAGTCAGTAGGTGGGAATTGAGATGCCATAGTCACAATAGAGTAAAGAGGACAGCAAGCTCAGTGTGACCACATAAAACTAATGGCTTGCTTATACGGAGTTTATACGAGGGAATAACTTGTAACGTTGGATTACACCATATGAAATTTCATGGTCCTAAGAGGACTACATCACAAGTACCTTTAGGATCAACAGCCTGGATCTCATCAGTGGCTTTGCAGGGCCGGCTGGCTCCAAGTCGGTTCAGGGCTCTGATTCTGTAAGAGTACCACTGACCCTCAATAAGATTCGTCACCTGGCACTTCAGCTCAGGTACCAAGTCCCCACAGGGCTCCCACTTATCCGTTCCTCTCTGACAGCGTTCAACATTGTAGCCCCGGATGCCGCTTCCGCCATCATACTTTGGCGGCTCCCAGGTCAGGAAGATGCCACTGGCTGACTTGTCCCTCCACCTCAGGTTTTCTGGAGGGTCGGGGACAGCTGGAGAAAAAAACAGTTGGAGCGCTTAGAAAGTTTCTCAGAAGCAGTTTAATCGAAAGGAAGTCTCGTGTTGTTCTGACTCTACGTGTACGAAGAATGTGTTTAGGTATTTTGATTAATAGAGACAGCCAGTATTGTCATTAACATCAATGTTACACATTGAACACTGCCTTTACTCACTTGCAGGAGAGGAGACGTTAACTGGCTCGTCAATATACGCTGGCTCTCCCGGTCCACATTTGTTGCAGGCGGTGACTCTGAACAAATACTCCTTCCCTTCAACCACGTCAGTAACGGTGAACTCCAGATCCTGGATCCCTGTGGTCACCTTAGAGAAAGAAGAATTAACATCATGCTTAACTGGTCCTTCATCACCATGTGCAGTCCAGCTAAACATTTCTTCATGACAGGCTGGGGCCATGGAGATAGTATGAGGGGAGATATTATTGAGTGGGTGATAATACTGGAAATGCACTATACGAGTGCCAGTCAGCAGGTGTTGTTACGATTCGGCTGTTACTTGTTCATGAATACCCAGAGCCAGCTAATTACAGAGCACTCTCTCTCTTACACGTGTGTGTGTTTTAAAATATAAAATTACACTTTTTTAATTTAAATATTAGATGACACATTATGTAGTGATCAGCTGGTTCAGCACACTCTGAAAGCCGATGTCACTGTTGTACCTTGACCCAGGTCTTGCGGGACACGTCTCGTTTCTCCACCTGGTAGCCAATCAGAGGACTTCCTCCATCATGCTCTGGAGCCTCCCAGCTCAGGTGGACATGCTGCCGAGTCACCTCAAGGACCTTGAAGTCCTTTGGAGCACTGGGTGCAGCTGGAGACACAAACAGAAATCCGATGACACAATTTTAACAAAAATGTAACATTTGTCAAGGCTCTGCTCAGTTTTTTTAGGGAAGATTTTTAAGGTGTACCAATAACATTGACTTCAATCTCTCCAGAGACCGATGTGACATCATTCTCCAGATGTAGCGTGTAGATGCCTTTGTCTGGACGGACACTCGGTGTGACCATTAGCTCTGTAAATGTTGACTTTGTCATGAGGAAAACCCGCTCATCATGCATGCTGGATAGCTCCTTCTCTCCGAAGGTCCACTTAGCAACAGGTATTGGATATCCAGTTATGGGGACTCTGATGGTGAGAGGCTGGGGAACAATCACTTCCAGGCCATCTTTAAAAGCACTCAGGTCAAAGCTTGGACCAACTGGAGAAGAGACAGAGGTTTTAACGTGCCTGCCTTTGCCAAGGATTTTACTATGAAGGAATAGCATATGAATAAAATAACTATGAACTAATTCATTAATCTCACCATGTGGGTCGTCAGCTAGCAGAGGTCCGATGATGTTTGAAGGCTCAGAGACTCCGGCAGCGTTTTCAGCAAACACTCTGTAGTTGTACTTAGTCCCATATTTCAGACCTGACACCTGAGGCAAACGTCAGTGAGGGATTACAACAAAGAAATGTCAAACTTTTAAAAAACCTTGTATTTAAAAGACTTTAAAAGACAGTTTTGGGAGGTTTTTACTTTGAAATAACTGGTATGCCTTTTTTTAAATGACAGGTTTTTTTAAACCCTCGCTGGAAGGCTTGTTTTGTCAATTATCTAATGACACGCTTTTAGCCCGAAGCAGCTGATAAAGGGCTTTTACTCAAAGGTTGTTTTTGGTCACAAGACACTGAACATCAACGAAACAGCTACTCAGGTTTGCAGATGATTTTCTTTGATTTGTACCTTGTAGAAGAGGTCAGGGCAGAGACGGGCGTTGCAGCGGAGCCACTTGTCAGAACCGTCCTCACAGCGTTCAATGATGTATCCGGTGATCATGCTGCCTCCGTTCTTCAGTGGAGTCTCCCAGGTGAGCTGCACTGAGCTCTTGTTCTGGTCCTGCCAGGACAGGTTCAGAGGGGGGCTGGGACGCTCTGCAGGTGATCAGAAAACACCAATTTTAAACCTGTTAAGTTAGAAGTATCCTAGGGTAAACCAGTGTGTGTGCTACGTTTTACCAGGCAAGAAAGGTTGACACTGAACTAGTTAAGTTGCTTTGGAGTGCTAGCTTCTTTCTGTTCAATATTGTGTCTGGATTTTCCCTGATTTTGAGGGACAGACTAACCTTATCTAACCATTAGATAATCATTTTCTTACTAGAAAGGGTAACCAATCATCTTTCCATGAGCCAAACTCACCGATTGGATCCATGATTTTGACGGGCTGTGAGGCAGCACTGGGTTTGCCGACACCGGCTCTGTTCTCAGCTTTCACTCTAAAAATGTACTCTTTATTCTCAATGACATCATTAATGATGGCACTGAGGTCATCAGGTTTGGCCACCAGGACAGGAGACCACTTCACTGACGTCCTGTCGCGGAGCTCAATGATATAAGAGGTAATGGGAGAGCCTCCATCTGACGTGGGAGGCTCCCAAGACAGAGTGCAGCCAAACTTGGTGACGTTTCCCACGATCACATTCAGAGGAGCTTCAGGAACATCTACAGAGATAAACAAAATATATTTTAGTGAACATGTGTTCAAGCATCCAAGTATTAAAGTATATATCAAGTTAAATTTGCACCTCAAAGATCTTGAACTTGGAAGTTTGGGCTACTTTTGTCCACTTAACTAGACTGTTTAATTTCCTTTCATCAAAATATCAATGCTTCTGTTTAATCTGAAACATCCTGTGGCTCATAAAGAAGCTAAGAGAAAGTTGGTGGCTGTGTAAAGGAACAGTTTGAAATAAAATATCATGGGTTATTTTGAACTCTAACAGAGTAAAGATTTTAAAAAAGAAACAAGGATATGAGCAGAACAGGTCAACTAAACTTCAAAGATTTGGCATGTTTGTTATATTAACACCATACTCACCATATTCAGATAATTTGATTTAGCCTCCGTCTAATTCAGTTATGAGAACAATAAGCTAACATTACCAAGATATCAGTTCATGCACTACAAATTTTTATCAGTATTTTGCAATATAAAGTCTCTATATTTATAAAGTTTAACTATTGTTGTTTTTATTTTACCCAAAAAAGTAACATCTCTTCAACTTAGTTTTATATCTTTTTTGTTACCTTAAAGTGAAGCTTACTGTCTAACATCAGAACTACTTTACATCATTATTTAAATGTGTGCAAAAGATGAATAAATACAGTAAATCTCACCAAACTTGTTCTTAGCTTGCACAGCTTCGTCAGTCTCCACAGTGGGTCCGCTGCCAACCCGGTTTCGGGCACAGACTCTGAATAGGTACTTGGACTCCTTCTGGAGGCCGGTCACTGTGTATTCAGGACTTTCGGCATGGTCGGTGGCCAGTGTCCAGGTCTTACGTTTCTCATCACGTCTCTCCACTACGTAGCCGATGACTTTACTGCCGCCATCGCTCTCAGGCTCCTCCCATGCGAGGCTGATCTCACCATCTGCAGTGTCAGTCACCTGGAGGTTCTTCACAGGTCCTGGGACATCTGGAAAAAGAAAATCACATTATAGGATAAGATAAGCAGCCTATGGACATCTACACTACAGTATCAGCTCTGAATGAAGAGAAACCCGTTCTAAAGTTTATTCTTAATCACAGAAACAGCAGATGTGAAAATACCACACGACACCCATTATTCTGTTGTTTTAAGTGTGACTGGTGCTTTTAAAGTTCACTCGTTATTATGGGATTTGAGAATTTTTATGCTTTTCTTTTTGACAATTAAAAATAATGTTTTGCACCTTTTCATGCTGCTTCAGCTACTTTTGAAGGAAACAACCTGCAGATTTAAGTAACATTCATTATGTATGGGGTGAGAAATACTGAGGCACTATGTATCATCTGAATTAGCTTAATATAGCAGAACATAGCTTTTGACGACGTGTTGTCCAGATTTGGCTTCACATTTAACATTAATGATCCCAATAGTGGTCAGACTATTTAAAAAAACTAGCTTGTACTAGTAACTATTTTATCTCTAATATCACACGTAATTACTATAAAATCCTTGTGGAAGCTGCAGTTCAGTGTAATTTTAATTGTAAACTGTCTTAGCACTAATTTAGTATAATTTTGTTTACTTGTAGTTAACCAGCTGCTTCTACATAACAAAGGAGACCTTACCAATGACATTCAGGTTGATGAAAGCTTCTCCCGCTCCATGTTTGTTTTTGATGATGATCTTGTAGGAGCCCTCGTCGACCTTCTTGGGGTTCTTTAATTGGTACTCTGTGTGCTCGGCTGAGGTGTAGATGTTGTCTTTTTGCAGACTCAGGTTGTTGTACAGCCAGTCAGCTTCAGCTTGTGGATAGGCACTGTAGGGGACGACCATGATAACAGGCTTTCCAACATCTGTGACGTAGTTCTGGTCAGTGGTCTTTATCTGAGGCACAGCTGCAAGAGGTGAGGAATATCATCAGTAGCACATGTAGCAGGTACAATAACTGCTGAACACAACACTGATTTTTCTAAGTAACCCATGGCTCACTGGACAATGCCTTGGACTTGGACTGCAGTAGCAGTGACTGCAGTGACGGTTATTGTATTTTTTGTGTCTGCACTCTCACCTGCCAGTTCCAGCCTGGCCTTTGCATCTTTATCCTTGGCAATGACTCTGTACTCTCCCTGGTCCCGAGGTCTGATCTCACAGACCTGCAATCTGTGGACTTTACCCTCGCTCATCATCTGGTATTTGTCTCCCTGGACAACGGTCATATTGTTCCTCAACCACTTCACCTCCACTCTGTCTTTGTTGAGCTCCACCTCAAATACAACGTCCGAGCCTGGAGGTTCAAACACGTTCTGCGGGGGTCTGATGATTTCCACTGGGGTCTCTGCAGGACAAAATAACATTTTTAAAGCGGTCACACCAAGCAGGAACAGAAGAGGAACTACATTCTACCGAAAACTCTTGGAGGCAACTCTGAGGATTTCACCTTCAACAAAAAGCCTGGCTCTGGATTTCTTCTCCTCCACACCACAGGCATATTCACATTCATCATCAGGTCTGCATTCCTTGATGCGCAAAGTGCAAATCTTTCCATCTCGTTCAAATATGTATCTGAGACAAAATAGTGAATTGTTTAAAAGTAAAGAAGGAGACAGATTCCAAAACAGTAAAGTGTAAAAACGGAGGACACTGTTCATCAGGAAGAATTCTGTGTGGATACAAAAATAAACTTTTGTTTTTTCTCCTTTGTAAATGTGTAAAGTCATTAAGTCTGGGAGTTACTGCAGTTTGTGATTTGGGGGTGCAGTGTAGCTGGCCATGCTAATTTGTCCTGCTCAGATTAAGGCTGCTAACTGAGAGTAATTGTGCAGGAACGTGTGTTCAAAACCACTGAAATTACTGAGGGCAACTTCTCCCTTTGTTTTTGTTGATTAATTTGTATTTATACAGTACCGTGCAAAAGACTCAGCCACCCCTCATTTCTTTATCTTTTGTTATGACAGTGGGAAACAGGTGTGGTGATTTATTAAAACACGTGCACACATGTATGGAATACAGTATGAGGAAAAAAGCTTCCCTAAGGACTGGAGGTCCCTACATATGTACGTCTAAAAGTTCACTGAACTTGGATCTGCACAGAACGTTTTCCTTCATTGTGTGGTTGAACCTGGCATAGCTGTAGGCTTCATTTCTATTGGCTGAGCAAAGGCAAGTCACAGGGTGCAGCGGTCAACTGGTTTGAACTGGGTTTTTTTGGCCTTTTTATTGGCTAGACGGAGAGGCTGAAGGGAAAGCAGATTGAAAGAGGGAACATACAGCAGAGGGCGGCAGGTTGGACTCAAACCCGGGCCAGCCACACAGCATATGGTTGCCTGCTCATCCCAGTGAGCTAAACCAGCGTCCAACTTGCTTAAACTTTGGCCGTGGCATGCAGGAGTACTCCTTGATGGCGTGTATGTGCTTTGCCTTTCTCTGCAAAGTGGTCAACCGTTATTGTGCGGTGCAAGTAATAGAAATGATTGCAGCACTAAATGGGACGTGCTGTAAAGGATGCCCCCCTGGGTGAAGGGTTTCGGGCATGTCCGACTAGAACGAGGCCTGGTGAAGACCCAGCACACGGCAGAGAGATGACATCTCTGTGAACTCCTTGACATTCCACTTATTCAGGGTTTACCCGGCCCCGGACAAGCAGAAGAAAATGGATAGATGGACAGATGGAAAATGGACTGGGCTGAAAGTGAGTAAAAAAAAGCAGCCAGTGCTCAAACACAAACAATGAAAAACCTTCAGAAGGCCTGGAGATCTATTGCTCAGGACTACTTCGAACAATAGGACATAGTATGGCTCCTTGGAACCAAAGTATGAAGAAATAAGGGGCGGCTCGAGACCTTTGCACAGTACAGTATATATTTAGTACTCTGTATTTACTTATAATATAAATATAATAAGGTTCTATAATGAAATATATTAACAGTGAAATCAGCTTGGTCTTTGTTGTGTTGGTCACAGTTTAAAATTAAATGAACAGAGTGTGTTCACATCATTCACAGAGAAAAAGAAACGTTTCACACACCTGGGTCCTTCTCTGATCTCTCGGCCATTTCTGTACCACTTGACTTCAGCTTTCTCTTTGGTCAACTTGCATGTAAATTCTGCGTCCTCGAACTCGGTGATTGTTTGGTCTTTTAGGTGCACGTTGAAATCCGTCGGTGCCTCGCTGATGATGAGCTCTGCTGTGGCTTTGTCATCTCCGGCTACAGCTGTGTATTCACCCTCATCGGCCAGGGTGCAGTCTTTGATGGTAAGCGTATGCTTGTCTTTGTCAACTCTGTAGACAATGCGTTTGCTGAGGGTAATCTCCTCACCGGCCTTCATCCACTTCAGAGTGGCATTGGGCCTGTTGACCTTACAGGAGAAGCTGATGGTCTTCTTCTCCTGAGTGTCAATGTCCTCTGGGGGAACCACTATTCTTAGACTCTCCTCTGAAAAACACAAAGTACAGTCATATTTCAGACATTAATACTGTAGGTACTTTGGTACTTTGCATTTATATACTTTTCTAATAGTGCATTGGACGTCCTACAATTCTCCTTCTCATGCCAAAGGTGATCTACTGGACCAAGTCTGAGGACTGTTGTTCGGTGAACCCATCATCATGTTAGAGATGATGTGAGTCTTGTAATGTGATACATTAAGTGCTCAAAGTAGAAATCATCAAGTGATGTACATGTTCAGCAACAATACTCGGTGATGTTTCACTTTATGTGACAGTGGGACTGCAAACACAACAAAACATGCAGCCATGCTGCTGCCAGGAACCACTCACCCCTGATGGTCAGGCTGCAGTTGCTCTTGGCATGCTCTCCTCTCTGATTGGTCAAGTTGATGCTGTAGTTGGATTCGTCTCCCTTCTGGACATCTTTGATTCTCAGGGAGAAGACATTGTCTCTCTGGGTTATTACGTACTTGCTGCTCTCAAATATGGTGTCGTCGTTCTTCAGCCACTTGGCCTTTGCTCCCTCTGTGTTGACCTCACAGTTCAGGACGACCTCCTGACCTTCCTTGCCCTCTGTGTCTTTTAGAGGAGTGATGATTTTCAGTCTCTCTGCAGAAAATAATAGAGCAGACACCAATGAGAATATTTCTGGGTCATCTGGACAAAAGACTTTATTTTCAAACGGCTGAACTCCTTGAGCCGGGGAAGAAACAAAACCCAAAAATGACACCTTCCTGCACTGCAAGTACTTCTAGCTAATATTAAGTTTCAGAATGTGTTGCCAAAAATATTATTAATAAAAAAAGATATACATTCAATATGAAAAAGAAATTTTACTTCAATAAATTCCTATATTTTGCTTCATGCTGCCAATGTTGAACAAGACTGATCTCGAATGTAAATTGTTAAATACAGATTCAAGGAAAATGCTTAGTGTACTTGAAAAACAAACTAATTTAAAACTTCATTTGGTCTCCCGGGAGCAGGTTTTCTTCCCATTAACTGAGATAAACTTAAAGTGGGCAGGGCTTACCGAGCACAGTAAGGTCGGCGCTGGCTCTAGTTGGTCCAATCATAACTATGTATCCACCCTCATCTTTAAGTTCACAGTCCTTGATTTCAAGGATTCGTTTCTTGCCATCGGTGACTATCTGGTATTTCTCTCCGGCCTCGAGCTCCACGTCATCCTTCATCCATTTGACTTCATAGGTCTCCTTGGATACGGAGCACGTGAACGCTGCCTTCTCTCCTTCCACCACTTCTAGGCTTTGTGGCCTTGAGATGAACTCAGCAGCTAATTCTGCAACACAGGAAGCATTTCAGAGCTTAGAGATGGGTTTATTTCAGTGAGACTAAGGCTTAGAATCAGGTTTCTTTTAGCCACATGCTAAAAACGAACATTTCCTAGAGGCTGTCACATTTCAAATCAAGTCAAATCAATGAAGTTATCTGAGAAAAGGTTTGTATTTAGGTCCTTCAAATTGTAAAATATCCTATAACAATGGCCTGAAATTAACCAAAACCTAACCTTTACCCAAGATGGGTTGCAAATGGAGTGATAGATGTTGAAAGGTAAGGGTTTAAAATAATAAATCCTGATTTTAGATTTATTTCTCTGCATTTTCTTTGTTGTGTGTGTTACTGCTCTCACTGTTACTTTGTTCCAAGTGCCTTTAACATTTTTTGCGTACCATTAATCTTGAGGTTTCCTGAAGTTTTGTTGCTGGAACTTAGCCTGCAGTTGTACTCTCCAGCATCAGACATGTTCAGATCCTTGATCAGGAGTATCCTTCTCTTCCCATCTACAATTTGCTCATAGCGGCCACCCTCTGGCAGCTCCGTGTCTCCTTTGTACCAGATAACGTCTGCGCTGGGTTTGGAGACTTCACAAATAAGTTTTACACTGTCGGTCTCAGTTCCCTCCACATTGAACAGGTTCTTGGTGAACCTTGTCTCCTCCTCTGCAATGAAAGGAATCCTCCATTAGTTGCTTAAAACCTTTTAATACATTTTTAACAACATATATTTTAGCAGTAAACTGCCATAACTGCTATCATGCTCACATCATTTATATCTAATTCATAAAACTCATTCAGCTTCAGCAAAATTATGTTAAATTATCAAATCAATCTCTCCACTTCTGCTTATCCAACTCATATTCTAATTTCACTGACTGATCTCCAAATCACAAACATTTATTGGTCACACAAATGTAAAATGTGCTGTTTTCCTTGATTTATTTAATTTAATCCAACTGAAGAAAATTGTAATTTTCTGTTCTTGTGATGGTTCAAATATCTGAGAAAAACTTTACTTTGAGCATCAGAAATTGTCTAATATTATCTTTAGCTTTGAAGAACTGAACAATTACATCTAACGTTAAATAATAAAATCAAGTAACCAAACACATTAATACGTGTATGAAGAAAGAGGCTGTGATCGAAGAAGAACTTCTTGATTCTTACCAACGACAGTGAGCATGCCAGAGGACTTTGAGGTCTTTGCATCACATTCGTATTCAGCCTCATCGTCAAACACAGACTTGTGGATGATGAGGATGTGCTGGCGACCTTGTGCAATAATTTCGTATTTCTTTCCCTTTCTGATTTCATTTCCGTCCTTAAACCAGCGGACCTGTGAGATGTGAAGGAAGAGGTCACTGAGAGCAAGATCAGTCCAAAGAAAACATGAAATGTAACCTTTACTGTAAGCTCATCTGTCAAAAGCGTGTGTTCTCACTTTGACGTCTTCTCTGGACACTTCACATTCAAACCTGGCCGATTCCTTCTCTACAACCTCGACGTCGTGGAGTGGCTTTGAGAACTCAATGTGTGGAGCTATTCAGACAAAGAGAAGAGACTCGTTAATACACTCAGTTTCCCACCTCCTGGAGGGGAGGTTACCTTAATAGAAGAGCAAAGCCAATGTATCCTCTGGGCTTCAGAAGTTTCTTTACTGTTTTAAAAGGCACTTTAACTTTTGTGGGGAGTTTGTGATTTGTGATTTGACAAATGAGTATGTATACAGGCATGCTAAAAGTAATTTGATTTTAATTTGGAGCTTAAAATCACAAATCTCAGAGTGCCATCTATCGCTTAAAAAGGGTTCCTTAACAAAAACAGAGACTGTTTCCTTAATGACCAAAACTACTGGGCCACACCTCTTAATCTTTGATATCCGGTGCTTTCAGTCCCATTGCCACAGCTGTATAAAATCAAGGACCCACCTTTACCAACATTTGTGAAACAATGGGTTGTTTTGACGCACCCACAGATTTCAAGTCAAAGGCTCTCACTGACTGAAACTATAAATGGTATTTTTGCAAAGTGGAAGAAACACTGCAACTCAGCCATAAAGTGACAGAATGGGGCTGCTCAGTGCTGAGATTCAAATTTATGAGCATTCAGCTCAAAACCTGCGGCTTTTCAAATCTCTGCCAGGATTAGTATCAGCACAGATCTGGAGAGTCATAGGATGGGTTTTTATGACGAAACAGTTCCTTGTAGGCATAGAGACAGTCGGCAGTTGGCCCAGTACTTCTGTCCCATTTTGGGCCCATTCGTTACCGTGGGGACCCCTTCTCATTGAGAGGGTTGTTTTAGGCCAATAAGGGGTGAGTCACAGTCTAATTGGGGTTCCTTTTCATGCCTAATAACTTCTAACTTAATTTTCTTCCCATTTCACATCTATACTTACGTTCAACATTGAGGAAGCATGAGGTTTTGAAGTCTTTAGCATCACAAGCATATGTTTTTGAGTCGTCCAAAGTGCAGTCGTGGATGACCAGCGCTCGCTTGCAGCCGTCAACGATCATCTCATATTTCTTTGTCTTGCGGATCTCCTGTCCATCCCTGAACCATCGCACTTCTGCATTTTCCCTGGAAACTTCACATTCGAGTGTGGCCGTGGCCTCCTCTTCCACTGTCTGGTCCTCCAGAGGCTTAGTGAACTCCACTGGTGGTTCTGGATGAACAAAGAAACAGAGAAGACAGCAGTTTGAATTTCAGTAAAGTAGAAACTGAACACTAAAGATCAGTTTATTTTTCGTGGGATTTCATCCTGGCCAATAAAATAAGGCTGCAGTGATAGTCACATATTGTGGTTGATTTATCAGTGCAACGTTTCACCTCTTCTAGTCTTAAAATGCCCACAGAAAAATGTAAGTTAACAATGTAAAGTCTCAGTAAGCTGCAGTAAGAGAGTAGCTGCGGTCCAAGCCAATTGTGTTTTTTGGCGTCAGATGGGTAAGTGCAAAATAATCTTGGGGATTTGATAATACACCTGTGCAGCCTCCACAAGTAAAGTTTATACATTCATAATGACCTTTTTAAATAACCTTTTTTTTCATATCTCACAGTATAAAGTTTTCTTTTTTCTGTGAGATATGTACCTACCCAAATTACAGACCTAAGTAAAACAATCAACAATACAAATGATAAGGACCTGTGCCAGTGAGCTGTCTGTGATCCTGAGTCATGTTTACAATCTGAAACAGAAAACTTACCATTGTAGTGGAAACTACTTGGACCATGCACTGACAAAGTCCCTCCCTGAGCCTGGTTCTGCCGGAGGTTTCTTCCTGTTAAAAGGGAGTTTTTCCTTCCCACTGTCGCCAAACTGCTTGCTCGTAGGATCATAGGGTCATATGATTGTTGGGTTTTTCTCTCTATATATCATTGTAGGGTCTACCCTACAATATAAAGCACCTTGAGGCGACTGTTGTTGTGATTTTGCGCTATATGAATTAAATTGAATTGAATATCTTAAGTGCATTTAACAGTATCCATCCACATTGACAAACAAACAAATTGAACTGGAAGACCAACCAACACAACCACTGTATGCTCGATTTTATAAAGACACCAAGATATATCAACTTGCAGAGTAAAATGCTGGAGATTTTCTATCAGTCAGCTGTGGCAAGTGCAGTGTTCATTGCTGTTGTCTTCTAGAAGGACACTAAAAAAGCTGGTGACATCAATTCAATTTAATTCAATTCGATTTTGTTTATATAGCGCCAAATCACAACAACAGTCGTCTCAAGCGGCTTAACATTGTGAGGTAAAGAGCCTAACATAATACAGAGAATCCCCAACAATCATATGTGAGCAAGCGCTTTGGCAACAGTGGGAAGGAAAACCTCCCTTTTAGCGACGAGGAACCAGCAGAACCAGGCTCAGGGAGGGGCGGGGCCATCTGCTGCCACCAGTTGGAGGTGAGGGGAGGGAAACAAGATAAAAGACATGCTGTGGAAGTGAGCCAGAGACTAATAATAACTCATAATTAAATCTGGAGTGGCCTATGAACACAAAAGGGATGAGAGGAGAAACAGTCAGTGCATCAATGGAAGGCACCAGTAGCCTAAGTCTACTGCAGCATAACCAGGGTGGATTCAGGGTCACCTGATCCAGTCCTGACTATAAGTTTTAAGCCTAATCTTAAAAGTAGAGAGGGTGTCTGGAATTAAGTTAAAAATCCTGAAATAGTGTTGTTGGGTTACCTTTGACAGTAAGACTGGCCTCAGTCTGGAAGTCTTTGGCTGCGAGTTTGATTTGTCCGGCTTCGTTTTGCTCGACATTGCGTAGAGTCAGGGTGTGGACTTTACCCTCCGCCTTCAACACCACCTGCAACAGAGTCGATAATCACAGGGTTTAATCTGTCCTGTATACTTCCTGTCAGGTTGATAGATTCATTCATATTTAGTATTTTCCTGCCCTGAATGTCACAACATGTCACAGGTTTTAACTTCTCTGAAGATCTTATATCAAGTTTAGAGATTCAGTTTTTGTCTGTATAAATCTTATCTCACTAAACCAACTCACTAATTTCCAATCTAATTTGGATTTTTCTGTTTTTTCCCAGACTATGAATGAATATATGACATTAAACCTCATTGCTGCAAGGATTAGGTATTGCAGTGTCACTGAACATTGCCCGTGAGGTTCAAACCCTGGTCCTCCTCCTCCTGTTAGCAAAGCAATAATTGCTAATGGTAAGACAGGTTTATATGTGATCAACAGTCTTTGTTCTTTGGAGGTTCCTTTGTTTCTCCACATCTACAGAATGTGAAGCACAGAGATTTTCTCGGTTAAGCCTGGACGGCCAAAATGAATATAGGCACCCCTCCCCCTCCACCCCTCCCCATTTTCCCAATTTAAACTACACGACCTATAACACCCAACAGCTGCTTTTACCACTGTGTCCTGCATGTGACAGAGCTGCCTCACAACACACTCACAAATGAAACGTGCAGCATTTCTTTATCAGACTAACAAAATAAGCACAACTGAAATTTATGTGACATCAAATGAACTTGGTTCGATTTTTCATTCCTAACAATGATATTTGTCAGAACCGTTTAAGATGAAGGTACAATGATATTTTTCTGTGCTGTGTGCATGAAAAGACACATCAGCTGTCAACAAGTAGACAGTACATTCATGTGTGGAGGATAAAGTGGCCTATTAGTGTCATAGTTAAAATGCTGCTTGATCAGAAAAACACTTTTGCTGATAAGCAGAAATGTGACAGAAAAAGTAAAAATGAGACAAACTGATAATAAAGTTTATTTAGCTCTATAAAAAAACTTTATTTGTAACATCTTCAGCTGAAAACCTGCATATTTTTTCTTTAACATAAAAGATAAGATTAGATTAATTGGGTTGTCATGTGAGGCCTGAAGCACTTTTCTATAAGAAGAAAGACAAACTGCTGCTTTTTTATCAATTTTACTTTAAACTCTTTGTGAGTTTATATCTGCCATAACGCTGTAACATTTGCTTTGACCAACTCTAAACCTAGATTTTTTTGGGGGTGTTTCTTCCTTTGGTTTTAATTTAGAAAGTTACATGTTTGCCCTTCATACTGACACTTTTATGAATCTTAACTGAACTCGAGGAAGTGCAGTTCTTCATAATCTGCTATAGGTGCAACCACATGTACCAACGACACTCTTCTGTTTGTTTGTATTTAAATGTGCTGCTAAATAAATCAGCCACTTTTGGTATTACCCAAGAAAAACACGTGCTGAGATGGAAAAGCTATTCATTGAGCCCGAGGAAACATTCAGCTTTACATTCTTCTGTGCTTCAGCTACTACTGTGGCTGAAACCTCCACCTATGCTAAACATGCAACATGCAGTGCAACCGAGAAGGAGGGAACGATTCATAAGGACCACGCCGTTCTCGGGTTACTTCAAACTTTAAACACTTGGATCTGGATATGACTCGATTTCATTTCAGGGCCTGGACTATTCACTGTTCAACTCTGAATTACAATGTGAAAACAGCAAGTGCATCAGCTCAAGCAAAACACTTATAGCAGTCCATGTGTTTTGTAGCTGTAGCTGTCATAGCTCTGCTGCCACTTGCCCTGCACCTCAGCCTCCTTCAGCTGTTAAAAATAACCCTGCAGAAACGCTTGTGGGGCAGAAAAGCCTTCCTGCCTATGTTATCTCAAAACCAGGAATCCCAAACCCACACCAGCAGAGCCTTATATGAAGCCGGAGCAGTTCACTGGACACAAAAAACGAACATTGTGTACAAATGGAAAGGGAAATTCTGGCTGTGGGACACAATCATGAGGCCTGGACTTCTGTAGTGGTTTGTAACTGAATGTTAATGGGTCTTGTGTTTCAGGAAGCGAATCTCCTAGTGATCCTGTCCGCAGTAAAGAAACATTGCGTGGGCTCAGTCAGATGTGTTGAGACTTACTCTATCGCTTGGCTCCAGCTTTGTACCCCCCAGGAACCACTCGACAGCGATGCCTTCGTATGACAGCTCGCACTCAAAGGTGGCAGTCTCCCCAGCAGTCACGGTGACATCCTTCAGAGGCCTCTGGAGGCCAATCACTCGGGCTTTAGATTGGGAAGAAAACATGGTTAGCGCCCCTGACCGAAAAACAGGTCAATGAAAACCAAAAAACGCCCAGAGAGACATGGCTAATCCTCAGTGGCTATTCCTCATGGTGTTTTGAGCTGAAGGCTGCTGGTGCAAGACCTTGGACAACTGAAACAAGCTGCCCTGAGACTTGGCATTAGGTGTCCAAGCTCATTAGCATGAATCCTACTGTCAGATGTAAACGGCAGGCAGAGCCAGTGAGAGTTGGGGTTCTACCCTTCCCCCCTGCCAATCACTGCAACCCTTCTCTAGATAAGGAATGTGGCTTCAAAAATAACTAAGGAGCCTGATAGGCTGAGAGCCCACATCTGCCAAATCCATTGAGGGAAGCCGGTCTGCTCCTGTCAATCACAAGATTGCAATTTCCCAGGAAAAGGAGAATGTGAATGTCCTCACAGGAGTTACCCAACGTCACACTACTGGGGAGTTTGGTAACACGGGACATACAGAGCTCTAGGAAGTCAGTGTGGATTAACAAGCCGCATCAATTATTTATAACAGGCTTCTTCACATGCCTGAATTAAGGCCCCTTTACAGCCTGTTGAAATGCACTCTGGCAGCATGACAGCTCATGCAATCAGAAAGCTGTCAGTCTGAAGAGTTTGCAGTCTCACCATCAAAATGACTCATTTATTAAAGTTAATTCACATTTAAATCCTTACACTCTGAACAAGAATGACTGTTTATAATTGTGTAGTTGGACTGCTGAACTTTCTTTTATTTCTGAACATTTACTGATTTGATAAATCTAAAAGTGAGAGAGAAGCAAAATATGAAATAGTTTTTAATTCTAGAAACTTGTAAGCCTGCGCCATTATAGGAGCTTTCAATCAGTCGCTGAGTTATTTAAATATTGCACTGAATTAAATTCTAGTTCAGAGACAAGTTGGAACAAGATCAATCAAAATGAATCATGTGAAGGGAAATATTATTAAAACAACTGCATCACTAACTTTTAATTATTTATTGAATTATTAAAAACAACAAATTATCATCTGATCAAATAGTGCTCCTTGTGTTAATTCTATCACTGAAGAGGATCACGGGATGGGTTGATAACTCAAATCAAGAGGAGGAATTTCAGGAAATTTTAGGCTACGTTCACACTGCAGGCGAAAGCGCATCAAATCTGACTTTTCTGACCCTCTGCGACCATCTATCCGATCATGGTGTGACAGTGTGAACGGCACAAATCTGATCTGGGTCACTTTCGTATGTGGTCCTGAATCCGATACATATCTGATGTTTTAGAAAGCGACTGCTGTTTGATGGTCATGTCGCATTAAATCCGCCTTTTACGTCACCGACACAAGACAGACGCCAATTATCAGCGCCGCAGAAGACATCGCGAACACTTCCTGACCATCCAGTGTAGATGTCAGTGAAACTGTTGGGAAGACAGCGTGAACATTTTATTTGTCCTGTATAATCTGCAGATTCTGACAGAAATCTGCAGCTATCCTTTGAAGCACTGCTCCTCTAAAACAGCAATAAGGATCATTATTAGGTTATTTACATTATTATGTAAATAACAAAATAACTTAAAGAAAAAATTGGGAAACGTAAAGTCTGAAGTCTTTATATTAAGGCCATCAGTCAAACATGCTGTTGCTCTGGGTCTAAACAGAGCGCGTTGTGTGTGACGTCTTCTTTTGCGCATGCGGCCGCTTTGAGCGTTCACACTAGAGCGCGTTTGCTGTCGCATTTTATTTGTAGTGTGAACAAGCAGACAAAAAAATCTGAATTGAGCATCAAGACCTGCAGTGTGAACGTAGCCTTAGTTTCATACTAGCAAATGTTATCACAGACATTTCAAAAATCGCTGTGATTGACTTCAGACTTGTTTCAGTCACCTTTGACCCTGAGCTGAGCTGAGGATTTGGCATTCGCTGCTGCAAAGTCAACACTTCCAGCCATGTCCATTTTGCAGTTATAGAGGATCAATAAGTGCCGGGTTCCTTCCTCCTTGATCTCCACATTCTGAGAACAAACAATGTGCAAACCAACAAGAGATGAATGTGCCAATTCAAAACATTTTCATGGAATTTCCAACAAATGTGTTGAAATTATATTTTATAGGTGTAAAATCTTACAGCAGACGGATGAAGTGTCTCGCCCTTCAGTTTCCAGGTGGCATGAAGGTCCTCCTCAGAAATCTCTGTCTCAAACTTCGCCGTCTCGGTCTCTATAACTTCCACGCTGTACAGTGGGCGGACGACCTTGATGTCACGTTCTGTAATGTTTGTTAAAATATGTTAGCGAAACTTACAAGTGAAGGGAAGCGAAGGAAACGTATTAGACGACATCTGTGAAAAGAGTTTCCCATTGTCAGATACAGTGTAACAGATGAACTAAACATAGGACAAGACGGGAGAGTTAAAATCAGAAGGCGAGCTTACAATTTGTGTAAAAACAGAAGTTGAGGAACGCTTGAGAATAATTAACCCCATAAAACATTTCAAAGTATATCCACATCTACACATCTACAGATCCATAATACCATGCACTGTAAGATGTGCAAGGTTGAATTATTCTCAAGTATTATAATGATAACTTTTACAAGCATTTAGAAATAAAGTGGAAGCTGCAGTAGTGCAGGACAAATGGAGATAACAGGAGGCGGGGTTTGGTGAATGCTGGTGGGCGGGGCCTGTCTCTGCAGTCCCGGTGGAGTCTGAGGGGCTGGATCACCACAGGTATTACCTTCGATGTTAAGGTCAGCGGTAGTTTTGTCAGTTCCACAGTCGCAGCTGTAAGCGCCCATGTTGCTCTTTGCTGCCTTCTTGATGACCAGCATATGTTTCTTGCCATCAGATTTGAAGGAAATGTTCTTGGAGGGAAAGATTTCTTCGCCATCTTTGAACCATTTGACCTCAGCAGCGGCCTTACTCAACTCGCAGGACAAAATCACCTCATCTTTCTCAACAGCGGTGTAATTCTGGAGCTTCACTGTGAAGTACAGGTCGCCCTCTGTGGGCAGACACCAGGATTATATCAGCTGAAAACATTCACTGGCTAAAGTCATGGCAAGTGCAGCGTATACATTCACCCAAAAATGTCACACGTTAATTCCATTTTAATAAGGTAAGGGGAAGATGCAGTTTTTTCATGGCAACAAGTACACGAGTCCTGCACTCAGTACATTCTTTATGGAAATCTGGATGCATCCCTCTGCGGGACGATACTAACCCAGAACGGTGAGCATGGCCTCTGAAGTCTTGGCCATCGCCTCCACTTTGATCATAGACGTGTCATCAATTGTGACCTCCTTGAAGGCCAGCGTGTGCACTTTTCCTTCCTCGGACATGTGCACCACTTTGCTGGGGTGCAAACGGACGTCATTTTTGTACCAGACGACTGGGATTTTTTCATGAGAGAGTTCAACGCTGAACTCTGCAGTTTCACGTTCCTTTACGGTCACATCTCTTATTGGCTTGATAAATGCAAGGCGAATACCTGACAAGGAATGTAGCGTTTGTCGTTAAAAGGCTTTTGGCATACAAAGTTTAGCGAGCACGCAAAAGAAGAATTCAGCCACGTACCCAAACAAATCTTCTCCTAAAAACACTAAAGAGATCCAACTTTGTTTACCTTTGATAATCAACTTTCCGGATGTCCTCTTATCTTCAGCCTCGAACATGTATTTACCTTCATCTTCATATCTGGCAGATTTTACAAAAAGACTGTGTCTCTTTCCTTCCACGTGGAGTTCAAACTTGTCATCTGTTGACAACTCTTGAGATCCCTTCAGCCAACGGAAGCTTTTGGGCTCCCGGGAAATTTCTAGTTCAAATTTCGCTTCATCCTTTTCATACACATGTACATCAGCCAGAGGTGTAATGAATGACACTGGGACCTCTGTTGATTCAGACAGATAGTTAATAAAAAAATCAAAATATCTGAGTGGGCAGAGACTTTCCACGCTGACTCAAAAAAAGGAAGGTGGAAAGCTCACCCTTCACTTTCAGGTTAGCAGAACATTTGGCATTAGCAGCAGTGAACATGACCTCGCCGGTCTGAGGTACTCTGCAGTTGTACAAGACCAGAGTATGTTTGGCACCGTCCTCCACGATTTCAACATCCTGCAGATGGCCAACAAACGTTTTCAGCAAAATTGTGAGAGTGAAAGAAAAGTGATGAGGACACAACTACGGTTTATCTCTACTAGCGTATCGACATCCAGATTTAAGTAAAAGAATGAAACCACAGATAAATGAATATCTGCTGAGATGCAGTGACATACAGTGGATGGACTGAGGAGTTCCCCATTCAGTTTCCACTGGCCATGGACATCGTCTTCACTGAGCTCAACCTCAAATCGAGCTGTCTCTCCGTCAAACACCTCAGCGCCATACATCGGCCGAACCACCTTTATGTGACGAGCTGACGTTTTGAAGAGGGGACAAAGAAATCATAAACATATAAACATATACAAACATGTACACACAATGTACACACAAAAACAAGTCAACATCAGACAGACACACATACAGAAACCAGTGCCTCGTGGTCCCGGTAATAAAATGTTGTGATGATTTGATCCAGTTTGAAACTGTGTGATTACTAAAGTGACTAAAGTGCTTCAAAAGACAATAAGTGATGTGTTTTGAAAAGGAAATCTCATAACCAGAAGTCAGCGACATGACAACGACACCACAGGACTGACACATAGATTCGAATACAGTTTAGCTTCTTGGAAACTTTAAATCTTTTAGTTTTTAGTCTTCCAGTTTCTGCTGTTAATGGAGAGAGACGGAAAAAAAACAGTAAACGCTGATTGGAAAGTGAAGTGCTTCAAGTAAAAAATTGCAAAAAAGAGTGAGCGATAGGACGCGATGCACGGGCTGTGCAAGTGAAGACGAGTATCAAGAAGGGAAGGAAGCTGCCTCAAAATGACCGAATATCAAAATCAAGAGATTTCTGGGTCTTTACCTTCAATGTGAAGAGTCGCTGTCGTCTTGTCTGTTCCACAGTCACATAGGTACTGTCCTTTGTCTTTGTCCCCAACTCTCTTGATTATGAGGACTCTGCGTTTGCCTTCAGCTTTAATGTTCACCGTCTTAGAAGCTTTGATCTCGGCCTCATTGTGGTACCACATGACATCGACATCTTTGCTGAGCTCGCAATCTAGAACCACCTCATCTTTCTCCACTGCAGTATAGTCCTGCAGCTTAACTGTGAAGTACGGATCTCCCTCTAGAATGGGAATATTTTGGGGTAATTCCACAATACACCGCAAATATACAGTGCACAAAACACGACAGTGAAGACACACGAGAAACACAAATGAAAACCACAAAAAATGATTTCGTATATATCACAGAGACAAGGATACAGTACTTTTGTAGACCCAGACAGACACAACAATGGACAAAGTGTACACAAAGCTGTGGGAAGGACGACACACTTGACAATGAGGACAGAAAGGACAGGTCGTTATTCTTGGATTACCTATAACTGTCAGGTTGGCCATGGAAAGAATTCCTTTGGCCTCAGCCTTAATTTGGCAGATATCATCTAGAGTCACTTCTCTCATTTCTAGTGCGTGCTTCTTTCCATCCACATGAATGACAACAGTTCTGCTCGGATGAATTTTGTTGTCGTTCTTGTACCAGGTGATGGGGATGTTCTCGTGAGAAAGCTCCAGCTCAAAGCGAGCTGTTTTGCCTTCCTTTACAGTTTGATCCTTTATTGGTGAGATAAATTTCAGCCTGATACCTACAATTGCATTAATAAAACAGGGTCATATGAGTTAGCTCATATGATGGTGGGGTAACCAAGACAATGAATGCAGTGAAAACAATCGTGTTCTGGCCTTTTTTCCAGTAAACGTGACCCATTACTTACCCTCCACTGTGAGTCTAGCTTTTGAGGTTTTGCCTAAAACTTCAATCATGTATTCGTCCTCGTCATCAAACTCACAGCAGTTTATAATCAGCATGTGCTTCTTTCCGTCATCGATGATGTCATATTTTTGGTCTTGGGTGATGATGTCAGCCCCTTTATACCACATGACTTTAAAAACATCTTTTGTGATGGTGCATTCAAACTTAGCTTGTTTCTTTTCTGGCACAGAAACATCCTTCAGCGGGACAACAAAGTCCATTTCGACTTCTGAGATAAAAAGTGACATAGGCACAATATGTCAACAACAGAACACAACAACAGGACTGGAGTCTACAGCCTGAGGTCGCTGTACCTTCTGTATCTCTTTAAATGTCCCTCTAGCTGTATAATTACCCCGAATCAGGAAGCACGTAGTATCAGGGACTATTAAAACACTAAGTTACTTCTTGCTATTGACTAAACTGAAGATCACTCCAAAGTGCTTAAAATGGTCAGTAAGACAACAAAGGTGCTGTTGCCAGCTCACAGTGTTCTTCCCAACTTGAACTACATCAGTCCTCTTTCTCACAAGGTGTTGAAGGACCTCCTATATTGAAGTTATTATTAAGGAACACCATGTTGTTAGTAACAAGAATTCAAAATATTCACATTCAAGTTTTGCCACAGGGTAGAAAAAACATCTTCTGAACATAGTTCCCAGAGAAGGCAAATAAGAGGTGTCTTCTGTCCACTTCTTAAAGTCCGCACTCCAGCAGATGTTTGCCGGGGAAAATCAATGATTTGTTGCAGAACTCCACTGCTGTTGCTAAAACCAAGTCCCTTTCAAATTGAGTCCCTTAACACGTTCACTAACATGTGCTAACTAATAAACTGTCCATGTCCACAGATTTAACATAGAACATTTAACCATAAAAGATACAAATAAACTTTAGAGGGAGACAAAATCTGACACATTTATACTTTATATCGTCCAGTACAAGACTTTACAACAACAACAGATACAGCACACCAATTCAACCAGTGAAAATAGCTAAGATCCCACACCAGACTGATATAGTGGCACAAATGATCAAGTTGAGTTGTCGATCCTTTTCAGTAAAGGTGTAAGGTCCACTCTCACAGGACGCCTCGGTTAAGACCTCACACCTTTATTTTTACAGGACACTTTTACAGCACACAGAATTTGCAGTTCTTGGTGACAGGAGTTCCCCTTACCTTTGACATTAAGCATGGCGCTGGTTATGGCGTTCAGAGCCGTGTAGGTCACTTCTCCCGCCTGGTCCAGCTGGCAGTTTTTTAGCTTGAGTCTACGCACTGTACCCTCCATTTGGATGTCGCATGTCTAGTGAAAACATTACAATATACTCACGAATAAAGAGTGAACATACAAATTAAAGACTACATGTGCAGCAATATAAGACAAGCCCTTTGTGCCTCACCGGGGATCTGGTCAAAACCTCTCCTTTGAGCTTCCATTCCCCAGGAATGTCGTCCTCAGAAATCTCAGTCTCAAACATGGCATCTTCCTTCTCAACCACCTCGACGCTGACCAAAGGCTTTAGGATCTCAGCCTCCCGCTCTGTGAACACATTATTAGAAATTAGTACTCAATATTAAATCTTATGCATCAGCAACAGAAAACTATTGCAATGATTTAAATGATTACAGTTACTATGGATATAAGTAAGTAAATGGATGAACCTCCAAGTGTTAGCTTGGCAGTGTAGATGCGTCCTTCCACCTCCAGCGCATATTCTGCTACGTCATCAGGCTGGCAGTTCTTGATGATGAGCGTCAGCTCCTTTCCTTCCTTCTTGATCTCAATCTTGTCAGATGGCTGGACTTCATTCTCTCCTTTGAGCCACTTCCAGTTGGGAGTTTCCTTGAAAAGCTCGCATTTAAATGTTGCAGCAGCCTTTGGTTTTACATGCTGATCTCTCAGTGGTTTCACTATCCAGTCTTTGACAATTTCTGTTGAATTTTGAGAGTCAATGACAATCATATGTTTCAGAATTTGCACAAATAAAACATTGCATGACAAAATCAGCTCAGTCTTAACGTGGTTTAAATTTTAAGCGATACTCAGTTTGAAAATTCCAAGGATCTCTATTTAATGTCCAAGCTGTGGAAATAAATCACATTTAGCTGCAGGACACTTTGCGGCAATCTTTTTCAATAGGATATAAAGATGCATAATAATGTTATGATATTTATGTTTGTTTAGGCAAACTACAAACAAGCCACAAAATTTGATAAAAATGTGTACTGAGACATGTAGGAGCGTGCAGCACGTCTCATTCTGCTTACCAATCACTTTGACGTTTGTTGTAGTCTTAACGTCTTCCTGTCCAGCCACTTCACATGAGAAAACACCGGCGTCCTCCTCCGTGGAGTTCTGGATGGTCACCGCGTGCTGCATACCAATGATATTGATCTGAATCTTGCCCTCCTTTTTCTTGAGGACCTCACCATTCTTCTTCCATATCACATCCCTCTCTTTGTTCAGCTCGCAGGTCATATACAGAGGCTGACCCTTGATTGCTGATGTCTCCTCTCCCAGTTCTTTGATCCATTTCACAGGTAGCTCTTTAACATGACAAAATAGCAGAGATATCACACATTATTTGAGGGGATTCCAATGGTTACATTTTGTGCATCTCAGGACTGCCAAAACATTATTATACCTTCAACGATAAGCTTGGCGGTGCAAGATATCTCTTTGCCAGCGTTCTTGGCCACGCACGTATATTCCCCAGTGTCAGACAGCTGGACATCAATGATGTTCAATTTGCGATCTTTGCCATCCGAAGTGAACTTGTGCTTGGGGCTCTCACGGAGATTGCTACCATCTTTCATCCAAGAAGTAACAGCAGTGGAAGGTGAGACCTCACATTCAAAGACAGCAGATGAGCCGATAGACTCTGCTTCCTGCAGAACAATGTTCTGAAGCTTTTTGATAAACTTCAGCGGGACAGCTTTGAGCTTGAACCCTGCAAAAGGTTCCTCTGGTGGTGGTGGTCCTTTCCCACCAGGCCTCAGCCCCCGACCCCTGCCCTCTCCAGGAGATGGGGTCTGCTTAGCTGAATAAACAAATTGAAGACCATCAATTCACATTTCATTTGAAAATAGAATGGCATGCTCACGTCATCATATCTGTATCTGCATCAGTAAAGTATTCACAGCGCTTTACTTGTCCCACATTTTGTGATGTTACAGCAAAATGGATCCATTTTTTTCACCTCAAGGTTTGACACAGAATAACCCACAAAACTGGCAAACTGACAAAAGCTAGAAACTTTTCTCAAGTTTCTTAAAAACCCCCAACAAGTTACATCAAAGTATTTATGCTCAATACTTTGTTGAAGCACCTTTAACAGCAAATACAGGCTCAAGGTTTTTTGAGTATGATGCTACAAGCTTGGTACACCGATTTTTGGACAGTTTCTCCCATTCTTCAGGTTACTTGGGTGGTTCACAGCCATTTCCAGATCTCTCCAGGTGTGTTGTCCTGTTGGAACATGAACCTTTGCTGCAGAGGTCCGGAGCGCTCTGCAGCAAACTGTCATCAAGGATGTCTCTGTACTGTCTTTCCTGACTAGGCTCCTGCTGCTGAAAAACATCCCCCAGCATGATGCTACCACCACCATGCTTTACTGTAGTGATGGCATTGGCCAGGTGATGAGGGATACCTAGCTTCCTCTAGACATGACACTTGGCATTCAGGCCAAAGAGTTTAAAGTCTGGTTCACCAGACCAGAGAATTTTGTTTCTCGTGGTCTGACAGCACTTCAGGTGGCTTTTAGCAAACTCCAGGTGGGCTGTCATGTGCTACCATCTACCATGCAGGCCCAGTTGTTCTTCTGGAAGTGGTAAGAAACATCTGGGAGGTGGTCAGGATGCACCTAAGCTCAAGTCTGAGTGCCATGGCAAAGGCTCTGAATACTTATGTACATGTTTTTGTTTTTGTTTTTCAATCTGAATCAAATAGGAATAATTCAAAGCAACCTTTTTTACTTTGTCACTATTGGGTACTATGTGTCAAATTTTAAGGTAACAAATTAATTTAATTTATTTTGACAAAGGCAAAACAAGAGCACAAAGACATTCTTCTCAAAGAAAACACTGAAAATGTAACAGTGCATTTAGCAGGGCTAAATACCGATTATTTATGCACAACTCATTAAGTTTAGCTTCACGAATTGAATCAATTTCTCTTTCAAAAAGTTTGCTGTGCATACAGATGTCTAAAACGACACATAACGTCTCACATGCTCACTTACCAAACCTTAACTTTGAGTGCATGAATAGCCTGATGCACACAGATTACGTTGCATGTCCACGTGAGGTTTTGAGACAAATTGCAGGCTGCCAGCGGTGTTTCAATGTCCCAGTGTAAAGCTGGGACATCTGGGCTTTGTCATTAAAGTGTACTGGGTTCAGATTTTTAAGTGAACAATGAATTTAATCCATTTTTGAATAATGCTGTCATGTGACAAATTGTGAACAAATGAAGCGCTGTGAATCCTTTCTGGATAAACGGTAACATTGGTTTTGCTGGAACACCATTGTTTTATCAAGGTAAAACTTACGTTTCAGCCCTCTACCTCTACCTCTTCCTGCTTCCTCTGTTGGTTGTCCCTCTGTTCAGGAAGAATATAAATTATTTTATGCTCACAGGCTAATCATACATACTTATCATGCTAAACATGCCAGGGTAAGGAAATCCAGTGTAGTGAATGGACTGGGGATTATGAAATGGTTCTGATGGTAAGTTTATGAAGTATTGACACTCACATGGGGGTCGACAAAAACACGATGAGGAAGACAATACATCAAAATTAAAATAAATGGAAGAACAAAGACGAATGCAATGAGTGGGGACAATACATAATGGAGAATGGTCAAATAGCAGAAACATAAACGACATAACAAAAATGAAACAAAGCGGTAAACGTGACCGGCAGTCGGACACGGAATGATTACACAAGTCTAAGGAAAAGATGAAGAAATCGCATCACACTTAAAATACGATGGAGGGAAAATGAGGTTATGGAAGCGAAGATGAGTGGATATTATTGATGGCAGGGAGGCAGGGTTTTTTCTTTTTTGGTTGTCACCGAAGATGCCACCATCTCACCTCTCCTGGCCACCCCTGGAACCTTCACAGCACCTTCCTCTGCTTCACCTTCCCAGTCCTCTAGCTCGTAACTCTCCTCTGGAACCAGCTCCCAGCCCCATGCCTCCTCTCCCTCTGGCACAGCCTCATTCTCAGCTTCAAACTCCTCTTCAAATACTTCCTCCTCTGCCTGAGTGGCAACCTTCTTCATCTCCACGGCTCCAGGAGAGACTTCCTTTACCAAGGGAAGCTTTCCTTCATCAGGCTTTGCCGGTTCCTTAACCTTGGCTTCCTCTTCCAAAGGCTTCTTTGGGACTTTTTTTAGAATCACATCCTCAATAGATTCTTTGGGTGAAACAGTTTTAGGAAGCTTTTTGAGTTTGTCAAGACTTGGCCTTCTCTCAGCTGCAACTGTCTCTGCTTCTTTAAGTTTCTCAACTTTCGGGGAGGGAGTCTTTTTGAGCTCTACCTTCTTGAGCTGCTCTACAGGTTTTAGAGATACTTCCTCTTTTTCCTTTGATAACACTTTTTTCTTCACTTGCAGAGGTTTTTTCTCCTCGAGAACCTTTTCAGGTTTCTCAGCGGGGGCTGGAACAGGAAGTATGGTCTTTTCCAACGGAGCTACATCTACCTTCTCCGGTTTCACCGGCTTCTTCTCTGGAGCTTCTGGGATCTCAGGTTTCTTTGGTTTAGCCTGTTGTTTCCGTTCTTCAGGGGTCTCAGCTGGACTTGTGTGACGTTTTGGCAGATCATCAGTTGGCCTCCTTTCTTTCTCCTCTGCGGGTTTCTTCTCAGGCTCTGTAGCCTGTTTGGCCAGCCTGTCAAAGGGCTTCAACTTGACTGTTTCTATCTCTGGTTCCACTGTTGGAATCTTCTTCACCTTTTTTGGCCTTTTGTCCTCTTCAGGCTCCTTCTCTGGAGATTTCTTTTGGTCTCCTGGTTTTGGCACCTTGGCTGGTGGCTCTTTTAATTCAACAGGTTCTTTCTCAGATTGCTTTGGAGGTTCTGTGGTTTCCACCTGTCTGGGAAGCCTTTCCGCCTTCTGAAAAGGTGACGTGTCCTTCTCTGGCCTCTCCTTCTTGTCTTTCTCTGGATCCTCTGCTGGTTTAAGAGGCTTCTCGAAGGGTTTCAGTTTGACTACTTCTGGTTCCACTTCATCCAAAGGCAATTTTTTAACTTTCTTTAGGGCTGTACTGGGTGGGGCACTTTCCTCCTCCTTAGGTGTCTTGGGAGTTTTCTTCAGAGAAATGGTATCTTTGGGTTTCTCATCTTTTGGGCCAGGCTTCTGCCGGGTCCACGCATCTTTAGGAGTCTCTTTTTGTTCCTTTGCTTCTTTAGGTTGAATAACTTTTGGCTTTTTCACCACATCTGCTTTCTCTTTTAGCTTCTTCTCCTCCTCATATCTCGTGGTGACAAACATAATCTCAGCAGCTTCTTCTTTATGTACCATCTCCTCAACATTAACAACTGTGGTCTTGGTGACCAGAGGTAATTCCTCTTGTTCAGGCTCTTTTTGTGGAACTGATGGGATCTTCTTCAATATGATAATCTCTTGTTCTTCTTCCACCTCTCTCATGACCCTGGTTGTCTTTCTCAACGTGGGGATCTCAAACGTCACATCCTCTTCCAATTTGACCTTTTGACCTTTTTTGTGTAGAACTGTTTCTGAGGCATCAAACGTTTCATATTACTTGGTTAAACATTGGCTGTATGTATAATACAGTTTAGTGTCAGTAAACTAAACTCATTTCACAATTTGTATAAACAAAGAAAATAGCAACTCGTGAAAAAGAGTATAAATAAATAAATATTAATATACAAGGGATAAAAATGTAATCAGGGATTTTAGGAAGATAACTTTGAATGATTTAAGAACAACAAACAAAAGATGACAGGGACATTTCCAGTTTCTCCAACAAAGGACAGAAAGTTTAATGGTGCATTTAGTAGAGCTAATAGGAAATTTGCAAATTAGTGATCAGCTTAATTAAAAAAAACAGTGTTGGACTGATGACTGAAAAGTTACAGATATAGGAGGTATACATGCATGGTTATATACGTGCATTTGGAGACAGGTTTCAAAAAAGGCTACAAATGCTAACTTTTGAGACCTCATGCGAGCATGCTTCAATCCACAAATACAAAGCAATTTGACCACACCTCCAACTATTTTACAAATGCCTGTACCCAAACCTGAATAGATACTGATCATTTACGTTGTGATTACGTTTTGCTTCACGAACTGGATCATTTTCTCTTTCAAAAGCTCTCTGTGCACACAAACATCTAAAACTACACATATCCTCTCACTTGCTCACTTACCAAACCTTAAATTTGAGTGCATGAATCGCCTGATACGCAAAGATCATGTTGCATGCCCACGTGAGGTTTTGAGACAAATTTCAGGCTGCCAGCTTCTCACAGATCGTTCAGACGTCCCAGTGCAAAACTGGGACGTCTGGGTTTCCTCTGTATTACTTGAAGTGGGTGTTTCTTTTCTAAATAAACAGAACAACTCATCACCAATTACAGACACAACGCAGTAACCTATAAAAGGTAATATATCACTTAAATAAGCTGCTGCTACATCCTGAAAAGTTAAGAATTAGTCATTAAGCTAACATTAATGTTAGCCTACTGTTATTAGAGAATGGTAGGATTAACATGAAAGTGTTATTCCACATTACCTGGATTATATGAATATTTAAAATATACAGAGATTATTTAGCACATACTCACTCCAGAGAATGATCCACAGTGATGTACAACCATGATGTCCCCCCATCTGCAGCTGAGCACTGAATGAGTCTTCCCAGCAGATTGTCCAGCATGTAGCAGCAGCTTATTTAAACTATTAATATTTACAGGCTACGCTGTGTTATCTGTAATCTATGTTTGCTAGCAGAGGGGTGACAAGTTGTTCTGTTTATTTAGAAGAACAATGACCACTCCATTTGAAAAAAAGAACAAAAAGGACTATAGAGGATGTCCCTGTTTTACACCAGCACGTTGACAGCGCTTGTGTTTGTGGATCCATGTGAAGCTGGCAGCCCACACAGGCATGCGGCGTGATCTGTGCATATCAGGTGATTCGTGCACTCCTACTTAAGGTTTTGTACGAGTGGGAGCTTCATGAAAGACAAACGTATCCAATTTATGAAGCTGAACTTAATAAACTGCCTGCAGATCATTACATTTATCCAGGCTTGTGTATTTGAATTTGTGTTTTTGATGTGTGTTCAAATTGTTTTGTACGTGTGTGGACTGAAGCACACGCTTGTTACACACAAATAATTGTACACATTTATACATTTAAGTGTAAGCTTGTGGATCACACCATTTGTAACCCTTTTGAGACATGTTTACTCCATACATGCTAGTAGCTCTAAACTGAGTGTACTCCTACCTTTCTTGACTCCTCCTGGTGCTTGGACTGGCCCCTTGGATTCATCTAATATAAAAACATAGTTCAAAAAGTTGTAACTTAATGTGGAGGAGACACAAACACAGATGTGACTCACGTGCAGAGCAAAGAATTCACTGTGCTATCATTTAGATGAAGAGCAACAGAAAAGAAATAACACCGTAAGTAAACACAAAGAATGAAATGAAGTTAGGCTGAGTACAAGGACACAGTAGCTTATGTTGAATTCAATCACCAACAGACACAAACACTGCAACAACAGACAGAGAGGCTTTACTTTGGCTAAGGGTCCTATCCTCCAACATAAGAAAGACTCGTAGCAACACCAGTACACATACACAGTGGAGTATAAATAAAATTGCTGTTATCAAACAAGAAGTTTAAAAAAAGAAACTGGAACAGACTAAAGACCTTAAACAAAGAGAACATTTCCATCTCAGTCCTCTACCTGTTCCAGGTGATATCTTTTTTGTTAGTGGTTTTTCCTCCTCTGCAATCATCTTAGTTGGTTCTTCAGCCACCATAACGGGCTTTGTCACGACCACTTAAAGTATAAAAAAGAAAGAATTGATGTATAATCACCAAAGCACGTAATATTTCTCAAAGCTGGAATCACTGTCTGAATACCTGGCTTTTCTTCTGGTGGAGTAATTGTCTTTTTCAACTTGGCATTATCAGTGACTTCAGGCTTTTTGGCAGCTTCTTGATCTTTAACAGCAGCTTGTGGTTTGCTCACTTAAAGTAAAAAGTATACAGGAATTTCAGCAACAGTGCTCTATCTAATCTACATCATCCTACACAAAGAGAACCAGAAGTTCATGTTGCATTTTTTCTATAAACACCTTGTTTTTGTCTATTTTGTTTCAAGACACAGTCAAAGATTTATATCTGCATAAGAGTGGCATTCTTTTCTGAATGCCTCAATAAACCCTCCACAGAAACACAGAAAGAGCTTTAAAGAAGTGGCTGGGTACCTTTTTGTGGAGCAGCTGGCTTTACCAGTGATTCTTTGATTTCTGGCACCAACTCCTTCTCCTTTACAAGTACTTGAAAATGAAATCACAAGACAATTAGCGCCTCACAAAGACCGATGTGGGAAGCACAAGACAATTTAAAGACTAAAACCACGTGACACTGCATAGAAAGCTGGATGACTGAGTTTCAACTCCATATGACAGCTGGACATTTGACCTCACCGTCCAAAACTATTGATAAAGAAATATTCACTTCAAATACAGAACTAGAAGTAACTGAAACAGCATTCAGTAGAAACCTTTTGTGATTTAACTGTAGTGATAAGAAAGCAAACAGCATGATGAGCAGTTTGTGCCCAGATGAAATGGCTAATATGATGAAGACGAGGAGTTATGAGTTCAAAGTCTTTTAAGAATCAAAACAATGACTGGCTCTCATATCAAGAGTGGTTTTTTTTTCCTCGATACCTCTGGAAATTTCCTGAAGGAAGAGTTTCTTTTCTCTCTTCTATTTCCAGTGTCAAATCCATTTGTCTGTAATGGAGTGAATCATTCGAGCTTCTCCCTTCTTTCTGGTGATGGCTTGAAGTTCATGAGGAGACATGCGTCTAGCAAGCGGGACTTCCTGCTTACATTCTGCTTACATCTTCTTCACGTCTTTTTTAGCTGACATACTTGTTTGCAATGACTTTTTCTTTGAGTGATTCCATTTTCACATATTTTTCAGGCCTGTCATCTGCTACATGTGATTGCTAAGACAACGTAACTTTGGCTTTGCTTTCAGTGTCTTCTTCACTTTGACTGAATTTCTCCTATTATTACCTTTGATTTATCATTTTCACCAGATTTCTGCTGTTCATCTTCTGTAGATTTGCCTTTCATATAAAACTCACTTTTACAGTATCATCTGGGAAAATATATTTTAGTAGAGGCTCTAATAAAAACTCGTGCTCCTCTGCAGTTAATTGTTTTGCAGATCCATTGCAGGGATCATTGAACCCTTTCTTTCCGTTTGTTGCTGCTTTGTATTAATGGTGATAAAATTGTCTTTTCACATTCAGTTTAGACTGGATGTCTTTGCTGTCCTCGGTCTTTCAAAGAATCTGGTTTCTTTGAAGATGTATTGAACTTCATTCTTAGACTTCGTCTTCCATTAAAGGCCTAAACATGAGGTTTCTCTCAGTGTGTTTCTTTGTTGAACTGGTCTTCTTCAAGTTTAATTCCTCTAATTCTGTCCTGTTTTTCATTGAAAACATAGAAAAAATATCTTCTGTTGTTTCAGTTTATTGAGATTTTGCAGATGTTTCACTAATTCCAGCCTGTAACGTTTTCTCTCCTTGGTCATGTGATCTTTTCTGGAGATGGACTTTTTATTAACTGACAATTTTCTTATATTTTTCACCTTTTCCTTAGTTTTAAGAATAACTTAATTTGTCTTCAAACCATTAGTGACAGAAATGTTACCATGACTTTTATTTTATTACCCTGACACTTTGTTGGGTTCTTGTATAGTTCTTAAAATTTCCTCTTGCCGTACAGAAACAATATCCTTGCCTACAGTGTCGTCATTATCTTTGTGGTTTGTTGCTTCCTCTTCTCTTCTTTGTAGAAGATGTTTTCTCGCGTTGACATTGAGAAATTTAAATGGCGTGAAGTGTAGTGGTGCAAAGAGATCACAGTAAAAAATACAGACACAAACATTTTTAGTTAAGTAAGACAGACGCTGCTGTAAAAAGGAATATCAGGAGCTGAAAAAAGATGTGAAATGTGCTGCGACTTTACCTCTCTCTAGTCTTTCTGATTTAGCTGCAACTTGAGTTTCAGGCGACAAAGCATCAGGAGCAGCAGTGAGAATCGTGTCTTCTGTTTCTTTAAAAAAGAATCAGTTCTTATTCAAAGGAAGGCACGAGTAGATTTTAGTAGAATAACAGAGGGCAGGAAAAAAGATTTTAAGAGGAATGAAAAAGACCAACTATGAACATGTGACATGAAGAGAGGTTTACAAACTGAGGTTGATGATGGACTCAGTCTGAACACACACCAGAACAAAGACTGCAAACATGGAGTCGAATGACACAGGTACAGATTAACAATGCAATAAGAACGGTACGTTTGGTACCTCTGGAAGACTTTTTTGAAGGAATCCTTTTCTCGTCTGGCTTTAATGGCACTGAAGGAACTGTCTGAAGAGGATCCTCGGATAAAGATTCTTTTGTTTCCTTTGTCGTCTTGTATTTGAGTTCAGTTTTTGCAGAAACAGATTCAAATTCCAACCCCTGTTTGATCATTTTTGTCACGTCAGTATCTGTTACTGAGGGTTTTACTGCAACAATCTCTGTTTCTGCATAAAACATTTCCTCAGATTTCACCTTTTTCTCCGTTTTCTTTTCAAACACTTTGTGTGCACTTTGCTCACGTTCAGGGGTGACAAGTGCTTCCTGTTTTCTCTTTTCTTCCATTTTCACTGCAGTGGGAACGATTGTTGCTTCTTTACCTTTAACTGTGTCTTCCCTCAGCGCTCTTGTCATCTCTGAAACTTCATTGCTGTGTTTTTCATGTGGAGTCACTGATACGTCACGATCGACTGCTTCCTTAAAGGTGACTTCAGCTAAAGCCTTTGTTTCAGCTTCCAGGTTTTCAGTCAGTTTTCTTGCTTCTGTGGTGATCACAACCGAGGAAGGTTTGGTTTCATCTGCCTTTGTCACCACCGTGACATCTTTCAGTGTTTCCTTCTCTTTGAATGAAGTAGGCCCCTCGGATTTTTCTTTCGCGCGTCTCTCTTTGCTGTCTGTTTCAGTGCTCTTCGCTCTCTTTTTAGGTTCAAAGCTGGCTTCGTGTATAGCTTTTTCGTCTTGTTGGTGGCTAACTGATGCACTGTCTTTCCTTTCATCTGTAATTTCTTTGCTTGGTGACTCAACTGCCTTGACAAAATACTCTGTTTTTTCTTTTGAAGGTTTATCTTGTAGTATTGTGAGCTTCGATTCAGAGTCCTGGGCTAAAACTATAGCCTTGGGTTTTTTCGGGCTGATTTTTTGTTTAGCCACGCTGCTTTCCTTCCTCTTTGAAGTATCAGTAGCAGATAGCTCACCTCTCACTTCAGACCTGTTATCTTGTTGGCTCTGTGTTTCTGTTGTACTTAAGACATCTGTTTCTACCAATACCACCACTGCCCTGTCCAGTGGAGCCACATCTTCATACCAGACTTCAGCATGTTCTTCTACTACTTGTTCACGCTCCCAGACAGCTTCTGTAAAAGGTACTTGTTCTGTCACATAATACATTTCCTGTATCTCCTGAGCTCCTTTCCTTTCCCATTGTTCTTCTTCAGCCTTCTCAAAACTTGCAGCTGTGAGATGATTTAAGAGGTGTAGAAGAAGAGGCGTCATGTGGCGGCGCCAAGATTTGACAGCAAAACACAAAGACAATCATCAGTGTTAGGAGACAACACAGAAATGAAGAACCACATGCTTTAGGTGACAATCCTCTTGTTTCAAGCATTAAAGAATAAGATGTGTTTAAGATCCATGTAGTACCTTTTTTAGTAGCATAAATTTTTATATCCTGTTCAATCTCTGTGTGCAGAATCCTCTCAATCTTCTTAGCTTCGGTTTCTTTTAAGCAATGAATCAAAATTGATTCCAAGATGGTGTGTGGTGAAGAAAACAATTTGGAAAGAGAAAAATGTAGACAATCAACAAACACATGTCAAATAACACAAACAAGCCAAGAGATGGAAGATGTTGACAAAACCTTGTGGCAGCAGTTCAGTCTGAACTCAATGCACACATTTAGTCAGCTGGAATTTCTTACCACCAATATTAGATGACACATCGATAGATGTCACATTTACTGATTCTCCTCACCACTGAGGCCAAATGAATTCAGCTCTGATAGCATTTTGTTATCTTGTTGCATTAAAGACGGAAATGTAACAAAGAAAAAATCATTTCTTTTCACTGAAAACTTTAAGTGATAATTAAGAACAATAAAGAGATTTCTTTTTACGTGATCAAAAGTTTTTCAATATTAAACACTCAAATAAAAGAGCATCATTTGATAACATTTAAGTGATTGTTGAGATTCTGGCTTCAGTTCAAATCTTGGCAGTCTTCATGCTCAAACATGCATGATGAAGATACAAAGAAAGACAAAAACAGCTGAAGTCTGCTGTACCTTTAGGAAGAATTTCTTCTACCTCTTGTTTTGGCTTGGCCTTAGATACGATATCAGGTATTGCATCAGGGGCCTTTACGTGAACTGTTTTCTCTACAGAGATCTTCTCTGTTTGCTTCTTTGAAATGAGCTCAACTTGGATTTCCTCAGTGCTTACAGATGTCTGCTTCTCAGTAATCAAAGCTTCTTCAACCACCTTCTGAGGAACCTTTACAGGCTTCCTCTTAGGAAGAGCCTCCTCTGGGACTTTTTCCTCACGTGGTTTTTCTGGTACTTTCTCAGGTAATTTTTCTGGCTCCAGCTTTGGAATTTCCTTCATGGCTTTCTCGGGTTTCAGCACTTTCTCCAAGCGTCTCTCGGGTACTGATTCAGATATTTTCTCAGGAAGCTTCACAGGTTCAGGCTCCAACACAGCAACCTCATCAAACACCTTCTGATAGCTTTTTTCAGGTACAGGTTTAGGTTCGAGCTTCAAAGCTTTAAGAGGGTGTGACACAAGAACATGCAAAAGACATGACAATAAAGAACACAAATGTGCTTTCACACAAGAAACAAATCCTTTATAAGTTCATGAAGTCATTTAGACACAAAAGGGTCACCCTGTGGAGAATAATATATGACTATGTGTTAAAAAGGAAATCTCATAGAGTAAAGACATTGAAAGGCACCTCTAAATGTACATTTTGGATATAAAATGAATAATTTGAGCTGGGTATGAGTATATATCATCATAGCATTTCTTTACTTAAAGAGACTCAAAAGACAGTGAATGAAGTCTGCCCCTGTATTAAAGAAACTTCATATGTGAAATAGAAATGTACCTTTCTCTTTCCTTGTTGGTTCTTCCTTTGGTGGAACGACAGCAGGCTCTGCTTTCTTGGCTGCTTTTGGAAGCTCAGTTATTTTTTCCTCCACAGGAACTTTAAAGAGTATTATTGGCATATATTAAAAGTCTTTTAGCAAATTCAAGTTGAAGAGTTTCATTAGAGAACAATGAAACACTCTATCGAGTGCAAGACAAGAACAATCACAACATGCAGCAACAAAATGAGAGAGGTTAGCCATTATAAAATAATATGCCACAAAACCTGAAGAGTTTAGGGTTAGTATGAGAGTTTTGGTTTTAGTTAGAAGTTTCCGGATGACTGAATTAGCTTCAGGTACCTTTAACTGCCACAGGTTTCTTCTGTGGCGCTTGTTCCTCTGTCTCAAACTTTTCTGGTTGTGCAAGTGAAGGTTGGGGTGGTTGGATTGGAGATGAAACCTCCTTCTTTGCTGGTTCTTCTGATGCTTCAAAATAAAATTCCGTTTACTATCATTATTATTATAATAATAATAATTATAGTTAGGTAAATATGCAGTCGGCAAATATCAACATCAAAATGTACTCACAGATAAATCCCTGAAAAGAATCTGTGGTACTCAAAGGTTAATACGAGATTTGTTCGCACTACCATCAAAAACACTAATGTGAAGACACCTCAGATGAGTTAAGGTTGGACAGTGGAGTTAAGAAGATTAAAGAAAAAACACCACATTAAGAAAAACTCCACAGCCATTTACCTTTTTTTGCAGGTTCCTTTGGTGCAGGAGTTGGTTCTGGTTTGGTCACTGGGGGTTCCGGTTTTGGCTTCACAGGCTTTGGTGCTGTTATTTCTGCTGATTTTTTCACCTCAGGTTCAGGCTTGGGAACCACTGCAGGTTCTTTTGGTTCTGGTTTTGTTAGAGAAGGCTCGGGTTTATGAGCTTCTGGTTTAGGTTTGTCTGGTTCTAGCCTGGTTTCAGCTGGCTTGCGCCTGGTCTTTGATGGATCTGGTTTTGCAGCTTCTTCAGGGACTAGCAACATTTAGATTTGTTTAGATAAACAAAGACAAAGACTTCGCTTCCACTCTTGAAGCTAAATGAACAGTTTGAAGATCTTAATACTAAAGACAGAAGCATACACAGTAGACTACAAACTCAACACAAACATCCAAACAAAACAGGAAATACCTTTGGATGGTGGCGTCACCATTTTCTTTACTGGTACTGGTTTAGCTTCAGGCTCCTGCTCGGGGATTTGTTCAGGTTTAACCTTGGGTTCTGCTTTGGGTGTAGGCACTGGCTTTGCTTCTGGTTCTGCTTTGGGTGTAGGCACTGGCTTTGCTTCTGGTTCTGCTTTGGGTTTGGGCTTGGGCTCAGCTTCAGGCTTAGCTTTAGGGGCCACTACTTTGGAGTCTGCTGGCACCTGAGGCTTGGGTTCATCTTTAAATGGGTAAAAACATTCTTTGTTAGGATTAAGCAGCAGGAGAATCTATAATTTTGCAAGAAGTGCTTCAGAGAATGAGAAAATCACCAGAATCGTGTATAGAAACAGCACGACATATAAAACAGATAAAGGTTTCAATGAAGCCAGACTGACTCAGCGTGGTGGGAAACTGTATAGTGTGGCACACAGTTGATAAGACATCAAAGAAACATTAAGCAACATGAAGTACCTTTCTTTGGCACTCCAGGCTTCTCAGTAGGTGGAGGTGGGGAAGCAGTCGGCCTTTTAACTTCCTCTGTTTCTTTTAAGGAAATATTCAAACATATAATAATCAAATGAGACAACAGATTGCCCTTAGCAAAGATGTTCTAAAGACATTTGTAGGAATCCCTACCTCTGGGAACAGGAACATCCTTTTCTGGGACTGAAACCACAGCAATCTTTTCCTCCACTTGCTTTCTGGCTTCAGGCTCTTCAAATGTGCAGTTAAATTAAGTGAAGGTCAAGCAACATTAAAGAGGTTTAGGAAGTAAAAGATCAAACAAACACAAAGTATAGTTGAGATAACAGTAAAAACAAAAGAAGCTAGAAATGTAATTAATAAATTTACGTGTCAACATCAACAGTTTGTCAGTACCTCTCTGTGGTGATGCTGGTGTTGGTTTCTCTTCAGGCCTTTCCTCAACTTTGGGAAATTAAAAAAAAAACACAATTAGGTGAAGAAGAGAAGTGCAGCAGAATACACGGCGCCATTTTAAAAACTGAAAACGCCACTACAGTAGATAATGTAATAAAAGAACAAAAAGACACAGTTGTAGGATGAGGGAAAGCAGAATATGCTCAGCTCTGCTGTACCTTTTGTTGGGATTTCCTCTCTCATTTGAACTTGTTTGGTCTCCATTGTCTCCTCAATGGCAACTCTTACAACTGCTGGAAAAACACATGCACAAAGGAACACATCCAAGATCGAAGGTAAGTGTCATAAAACATAAACATTCTTAAGTCTTCATAAGTCAAACATGGAATCCAACACTTTTAATTATTTTTTTTCTTTTAAGCTCAGAATTTCTAGATAAGCTTTTTAAGCATTTGGACATAAGTCAGTACAATCTAAAGCATTTGGTCATTAGTGTGTGGTGTGTTTTAGACGGGACAAGAGAGGTCAAAAGATCAGTGCAAACCTAAACTGTGCAAAGCACTCTGATAGGAGCCAGAATGATAATGCAGAACAATGTATTTGTGATAAGAAACTAAAAGATTCAGAAGCTCGACAGTAAGCAAAACCAGATCATCAGATATTAGGCTGTTACTGAACCAAAAGTGGTTATTAAAAAAACAAGCACACAAAGGCTGGTAGTGAAATGAGGGATAAAAAAGAGAGACGTATGCAAACACAAATATATAAGATAAGAAAAAACATACATTTAAAAAAAGACAAATGTCAAGATAGACATGAGTAATGTGGCTCAAACGCACACAGGTATTGCTGTGCATGCTCTCGACATTGTGCTGACAAGAGCATGATGAGCACATCATACAAAACTGCTGGCCAGTCAAAGGCCTCAAGCCCGGGCCAATCAATACCCTAACACCTGTACAGTCTGATGTTAAAGAAAAAAAGAGATAAAGCTGCACATCTTTGAGATGCAGGACAAAAATCTACATTTTATTTGTCCTCGTTTAAAAACAGAAGTTGAACTTCTTAAAATCTTCAAACTGGAACGACTTTTTTTAAAAGCTCTATTCTTAGTGATCCATTACACACCAAACACCATTTACAGGCATAGAAAAAGCTAATACAAATGTGTGTGTGGAGAGGGTCCATATATACTTGTTGTTGTTCAGCTGGTGGAGATAGAACTCTTACCTAATATTGTACTTTTCTCACTAAGCCTAGCCAAAATCCAAAAAGTGTAAAAGCAAGAGTGCAAAATGTATTTTAGTGTGCTTAAACCTAATGGAACAGAACTGAACACAATGTATTTAATGTAATAAATCTCATCCCTAAAACCAGACTCACCCGGCGCCCGGTGGCGCCAGTGTCCGGCAGCCTCGCCTCTGTCAGTGCGCCCCAGGGTGGCTGTGGCTACAATGTAGCTGCCATCACCAGTGTTTGAATGTGTGTGTGAATGGGTGGATGACTGGATATGTAAAGCGCTTTGGGGTCCTTAGGGACTAGTAAAGCGCTATATAAATACAGGCCATTTACCATTAAATGGCAAAACATAAGTAAAAGTTAGTGAGTGTGGCATCAAGATGGAAAACTGGATTAAAGTTACAAAGTGACAACAAAACACATTCAGAACATTAGGCACAAAGAAAGAAAGAAGAACAGATACAAATTAACAGGAAAAAAGACAAAACGCAGGAGCATAAAAACAAATAGTAAATACCTTCAATCTCTTCTTCATAATGATAGAATTCATAAGATTCTTTAAAAGACAAAAAACATTTTTATTCCATTTCATTGTTAAATTCAGGTAAACATTGTCTTAATTCTATGTGGGCCACAAAACTACTATGAAATTTCTATAACAGAAACTGCTCTGTAAATTCCCTGATGTGATAAATGGAACAAAGTGAGCTGCTTATGATGCCTTACCTTGAATTGCAACTGACGTAGGCACTTCAGGCCTCTGAACAGAGGAATCTGGCATATCTACAGAGTATGGTAACAAAAGTTTTGTTTTGGTTAAGTGGTTAACTATTGGTTAACTATTAAAAACAAAACAAAACCACTGTGTGAGTAGAAGTGTAGGACATTTTGGAAAATCCTCTTGCTTGGTAGCATTTGCCAGTTACAAGATAAAAAGTATAGATAGGCATATTTCAACCATAACATCAATTAAGTACAACCAGCTAGCGTAGTCCTGTAGTAACACAGGCTAGTGGGTACCATACCTAACCACCTAACTTGAAACTAGTAACTCCATATCCGGCCCTTTAGGCCTGGAGCTTAAGTTCAATATTTTAACAGCTTCCCAAAAATAAGCTAATTGGTTTCACTTTTATAAAATCATAGATAATAGTGTTATAGGTAATGGAAAAATGCATCTGGTCCTAGAAGGTCTTAAATTTGGTCAAATACAACCTCAGATGAACAACAATATACATTGTGTCATTACATATTTAACAAACACTGAGCAAAAAGGCAGACACAGTATGAAATACCCCTACTTCCTTTATAGGAATAAAGCATGTAAGTAACAGAAAGTTGCTGCTGCTCACATTTAATAGATTAAATGATGATTGACACAAGTGTGTCTACAACTGTAAAAGCAGAAGTGTTAGCAGTTTGCTAATCTGACGCATTCAGGTGGAATTGGAAAGCAAGTGGAAAATCCCATGAGTGGACATCAAATTCCCCTCAAGGACAAATGACAAATGGCAATGACATCCACCCACTGATCCATCCATGCCCAGACAAGCCCAGAGCCTCGTTAGCCACCACCTCCAGCTCTTCGGGTGGGTGACTGAGGCGTCTTAAAGACAGGCAATTTGTCCTTGGTCTTCCCCAAGGTCTCCTTCCTGTGGTAAATGGCCAGGAGACCTAATATAGCAACCAGGAGGTATCCTACTCACATGCCTGAGCCACCTCGCCTGGTTCCTGTGTGCAGAAGTTGCCACAGCTTCTCTGAGCAGAGCTGCTCTTTTGAGTCCCTCACCCTGTCTCTAAAGAAGGGCCGAGCTACCCTTTGAAGAAAGCTCATTACCATCATTCGTTATTTAAGTCACTACTCAGAACTGCAATAGGTGAGGGCAGTAACATAAATTACTAGTCAACACCTTCAGCTCTCAGTTCACCACAACAAATTGGTAATGACTCCTAATAACTGCTGCCACGCCACTCGTTTCTCGGTTACTGTAGGAACACGACCCTGAGACAGACCCTTTCTACTTGGGACAGGAACTCACAGTTTTCCAGATAAGAAAAACCTGTAGGTTGTAATTCTCATTCCCACATCTTCAGACTCTCCTGTAAAACAGCTCAGTGCAGGCTGGAAATGACCATGTGATGAAGCCAAGAGAATCTCATCATGCAGAGAAACATAGATGAGTCCCTGAGGCCACTGAAGTCAAAATTTGCTTCTTAGCTATGTCTACAAATTTTGTCCACAAACATTTTGTACAAAATCACTGAAAAACCACTAACAGAGTCCAACAGCCAGTGGGGACAGGTCTGACTCATTACTGACAATACAGACCTTATGTCATGGTCCCCGTGTCTCGCCGGCTGACTCCGTGTCAGGGGACATGTTTGTTTTTGTTTTGCTCTCTCTCCCTCTTCCCTCCGCTGGGGTGGTGCTCACTGCAGGCTCCCGCCCTGGGCCCACGCACCTGCACTTGTCATCACACCTGCTGCCGATTCCAGTGGATTAAAGCAGTACTTAAGATGGCGGACCTTTGCTATTCTTGGTTCGTTGGGCTATCGGCATCATCCCTGAACCCGTTTGTGACTATGTTTGGATGAGTGAGATAGAGGAGCGGCGAAAGAGAGGTGTTGGACTTTCTGGAGAGAGAGAGGAGCGTTTTTGACTCATCCTCTGTGTCCCTGTGGACCCTGGAGCCCCGGACTCCTTTCCCCCTGGCACTCTGTATATATATTCACCTGGTGTTTCCTTCACTGTAAATATACGCACTGTTTTCTTGCCAAAGAAATCCCTGGTCTGCGCCTGAGTCCGTTTAAGGAACCTTGCTCAGGGAACCATCGCTCTAGTCTTCTAATCTAGAGGCATCACCCCACAGTGCCATGCAAAGTTGCAGAAGCGTGTCAATCAGTGTAGTCCCACAACATCCAAAGCCTTAAGGAACAAGGCAAATCTCCACCCTGGGGGTCTTACCACTTACAAGAAGCTGTCTTATCCCAGTAAACTCACCTCTAGTGATTGCAAATCATCCACCTCATCCCCAGACTCTGCTTCCTCTATGAGGAGTATTTGTGACGCCACAGGCTAACCAAGTCCACTAGGAGTCCCTCTAACAGCTCTCTTTAGCTCCAGTGTCCACCATCTGCTATGCTTGCCCCAATGGCTCAATGCCCTCAGTCTCTCTCGGAATGTATTCAAAGTTATGCCAGAAGTGGAAATTGACCAGGGCTTCGGCTAGATGCTCCCAATGCACCTTCCCCATATATCTGGGCGTGCATGGCCAGCATCCTTTGCTCTCACCTCATCCAACTCACTACTAGGTGGTGATCAGTTGACAGCTAAACTCATGACACAGATATGAAATTAATCACCAACCTGCAACCTAGCGTGTCCTGGTTTCACCTCCACCTAGGAACACCCTTATACTTGAACATGTGTTCGTTATGGACACACTGTGATTATCATAGAAGTCCAATAACAGAACACCACTTTAGATTGGGCAGCCTTTTCCTCCTAGTCAAACCACACCTGGTCTACCAAATCAAAGCCAAACACATCATATCAGAAGCCGTGATCATTGTTTGGCGCTAACAGGACTTTGGCACCTGGATGCCATGTGAGTTTAACATAGACTCCATGATTAATGGTGGATCAAATGAACACAGGCATTGCACACAGATATTGTCAAATGTAAAGCCATTTGGCTAAAATTGGGTCATGCAACAGGAGATTCACCCAGAACAATGTGAGAAAATAGTTCAAAAAAGTGGTTCTACACGCTAGTGAATCACAGTGTGGGCTTATTTTTCACACATTGGTCCTAAATTTTGCCTTAAATCTTTTAAATACATTATGACATGATGTAATATGTCATGTGATGCTATTCCTCTGAGGTTGCATTTGCCTAGTTTTAGAACCTGGTAAGAGTCAGATCATTTTTGATTGTGTCTGAATTCGTAAAACCCTGCAGTGGTGAACTAGAGTGGTGGACTGTGTCCATATCTGACTGTGATAAAGAGGGCAGAAAGAGGTTTTCCAAAGATGTTCCTGAATGATTAAAGTCATCGAGGGTCTTGAAAATAAAATACCTACCAATGGGGACCATTGCTAATTCAATTTCTGTAAAAAAAAAAGAAAAAGAAAATATAGAATAAACAGAGTGTTAAACACTTCGATAAAAGGTGAGCAGAAGCATAAAAAGTGTTGCCTGACTGAACTGTACCTTTGCCAGACAAATAAAGCTCAGCTGTGCTCTTAGCCTCTCCCCTGGGTTCCAACCTCACAATTACTGAGTACACGCCTATAAGGAATTAGTAATGAAGATCTTTTACACTCAGGTCTCAACAAACAACGAGGAAAAAAATCTACAGGACTTTGTGACGAGCCTTTGTAGCTTGATGGCACACTACACACCTTCGTCTTCAACGGTCACGTTTTGAATGACCATGAAATGTCTTCGGCCCTCGCTTCTGAAGTTGTACTTAGGGCTCTCTTTCAGTTCCCAGGTGTCTTTGTACCATGAAACAATGGCATTGTCAAAGGACACTTCACACTCAAAGGTGGCTGACTGTCGCTCATTGACTTCGATGTTGTGGATGCGTTTGGTGAAATGAATTTGTTCAGCTAAAAAAAAGATAAAGACGGGAATGGGTAAATGGCATCACAATTGGGAGTGTATGACAATAGCTAAATGGTCATTTTTCATCAAAATATCATCTAGATGGTTAAAAATGATGATCATCGTTTATGGGACAGTTATCAAAATGCATGTAAAAATACAACAAGTGGGACAATGGGGCATGCTTTTGGAACACGATCATGAAGAAAGTTACGAAAGAGAAGGACAAAATCAAAGAGGAAAAAAGAGGGCAATCTTCAAATTGCCAACATTATTTTAAGAGTTTGATAATGGAAGTCAAAGAGGTTAGTAACTGGGAACTACGTAAAACATGTCTATAAGTTTGCAGGATGGGTTCCAGGTACAAACCTTCCACCCAGAGGTCTGCTGAAGACTCCAGCTGTTGGTACTTGCAGGTGTATCTTCCTTGGTCTTCAGGCTTCAGGTCTCTGATCAGTAGCTTCTGAACCTTGTGTTTCACCTCAGATGTGTACCTGTCCTTCATTTCTAACTGCTTTCCATTTTTAAACCACTGAGCCTCTACATTAGGGATGGACATCTGACAAGACATAGTACATGACTGGCCTTCCTTACCCATTGTGTCCTGTAGATGTTTCTCAACCTCCACCTCTAAAAGACAAAACACATAAAAACAAAAATGAAGTCAAAAGAAAATAGTTTATTTAAGACAATCGAGTTTTTACTGTAAGGAGGCTTTGTTCTCAATCAGCCAAGAAGACAGAACATTTACAACCACTTAAAAGCTAAAGCCTCTAAGCTAAACTAGACAACTACCGAGGTGAAATGCTAATTACCCTTTATCAAACGACAGATATTTTTTAACAGATGCAGTAAAGCTGTCAGTACTGACCCATGACACTGAGCTTGGCACTGGATATGTGGGGCCCGCACACCACCCTGTAGTTGCCCTGGTCAGATGACTGGCAGTTCTTGATCCTGAGCAGATGGCGGTCGCCGCTGATGGTGATATTGTACTTGTCACTAGTATCAAGTTTCTGTGTGCCTTTGTACCAGGACAGCGTGATCTCTAGGTAGTTGATCTTGATCTCACACTCGAACATTGCTTCTTCATTAATGAAGACAGATTGATTGGAAATGTCCTTCACCACAGTGACAGGCTGCAATAATGACAAAGAGCATTATGAAGTACATGCCAGACAAACAGTTTTTCATCCTTGTGATTGTCTCTATTAAGTGTACACTGCAGTAAAGGAAAGATTCTCTGATGGCTCAACAGCTTTTTCTAATAATGTTTATGTGCACAACATATGTTAAGGACCAAAGAAAATAAACTGGGTCTATGGCTACAACGTAATTGATCACTTGCAATGTTGACCCTGTACCAACATTAGTTTTGTTAATTCAGCAAAAAAGACCATTGCAACGATTTCAGAATAAAGTTGGACTGATATAAATGCTAATGCATCCTATAACTGTTGACTGACAAAAACACATCAACGGCACATCAACCACTGGTCTTATCATTAGTAACAAAGCCAATTATCCTTTAAATATGCTTTGAGGATTTTTAGCCTTCAGCTGTAAAAGGCTTATAAGGTATTGTTGCCCCACCCGCACACCCTGCCGGGCATGTGGGTGTGTCACGTGGATACCCACGTTTGTCAATGCGAAACCTGAGAACAAAACAAGGCGTAGGATTTACAAATTAATACCACAGGTGTATCTACTATCGCTGATGAGTTCAAAACTCAGTGACCTTGACCTCAAGGTCTGAGGTCATAGGTGAAGTTTTCTGAAAATCTTGTGCTTGTGATAATTCTAGAAGGAAGTCCATTGATTTTCTTCCGCTTATCTAGGACTGGGTCGCTGGGGCTTCAGCCTAAGCAGAAAAGCCCAGACCTCCCTCACCCTAGCCAGCCAAGATATATAATGTCCTTAGCTTGTCCTGGGTCTGTCCCGGGGCTTCTTCCTGGTGGGACTTGTCTAGAACACTTCACCCGGATGGCTGAACTCCTTCCGTCGCTTGTATCCATGATTTCAGCCACTACCCAGAGGTCATGACCGTTGGTAAGGGTAAGGGTGTACATTGGCCGGTAAATTAAGAGTTTTGCTTTTACGCTTAGCTCTCTCTTTACCACAACGGACTGGTACAGCGACGAGATTCTGAGACCATCAAAGTGGAAACCTTCCACCACTTGGTTACTCCTAGAAATCCTTGGTGGCAGGTCCTCTAGGGCAGCGGTCCCCAACCCCTGGGCCTCGGACCGGTACCGGTCGTGAGTCATTTGGTACCGGGCCGCGAGAGTTGAGGCTCAGGTATGAAATGTATGGTTTTCAGAGTTTTTATCGGTTTTCAGCGTTATTTTGTTATCGTTTTTATTGTTAACTCGGTTTTCCTGGGTCTTTTCACGTGTGTTATGAATAAATCTTCTCTTTTTCGGTACCGGTACTGGTTTTATTTTGTTGTATTTATCCGCGACACCTTAAAGGCCGGTCCATGAAAATATTGTCAGGCATAAACCGGTCCGAGGCGCAAAAAAGGTTGAAGACCTCTGCTCTAGGGTGTGTGAGGTTCACCATGAGTTCTTGAAGGCTCTGGAAGTTGTAGGGCTGTCTTGGTTGACCTGAACGTCAGAGGTCAGGTTTTCTGAAAATTGTGTGGCTGTAATAACTTGAGATGGAAGTCACCTTTGAAATTGATACAAAGGTGAATATGCTAAAAATATCAGATGAGTTCAAATGGGGCGTTCGTGGCTCAAGAGTTGGGTGTTCGTCTTGTAATCTCAGTCGTTGTATCCTTGGGCAAGACACTTCACCTGTTGCCTACTGGTGGTGGTCAGAGGGCCCGGTGGCGCCAGTGTCCGGCAGCCTCGCCTCTGTCAGTGCGCCCCAGGGCGGCTGTGGCTACATGTAGCTGCCATCACCAGTGTGTGAATGTGTGCGTGAATGGGTAGATGATTGTGTATAGTGTAAAGCGCTTTGGGGTACTTAGGACCAAGTATAGCGCTATACAAATACAGACCATTTATCAAATCTCAGTGACCTTGACCTCAAGGTCAAAGGTCAGAATTCAAGTTTTCTGAAAATCTTGTAAATGTGATCATTTGAGAACAAGGCAACGTAGGATTTTGAAATCGATACCATAGGTGTATCTACTAAAAGGCTCAGGGGAGTAAAAAGAAGTTAGCTGACTAACAAAGAAATCAGTGAGAGATTTCTAATTGCTGCTGGAAAACACTTTAGAGAGCTGTAGACACCCAGTTCACGATTAGATAAGCAACTCTTTCCGACCGTTGCAAGTAAAAGCTTTACTCAATAAAGTTAAATATTAATTGTACTGTGATTCAACTAAAACAAAATGTAAAACTTTGGATTCTACTGTGGGCCTAAGAGTATTACGGTGGCCCTAGGAGGGCAAACGGATTTAAGAAAACACCAGCAAATAGGAAAACGCTGCAAAAGCACACAATACACAATGGAAACAGAAAAAAGACAACGGGGATGAAAAACACGTGAGAAAAACTACAAAAAAAATCAGAAAGGAAAACAGAAGTGTTTCAGGGGACACGATAACTTGACGGAAACATTTCCGTTTTCTTTCTGATTGTTTTCTGTATTTTCTTTATTGTCTTTTTGTCTGTTTGTGTTTTGTGTGTGCTTTTGCAGATGCTTTCAGTCCGTTTGGCCTCTCAGGGCCACCGTAAGATTCAGCTTCAGAAAGATTTTGTAAATTGATGTTATTGGTGAATAAATCTCCTTTATTTTTATTTTTATACTGATGACCTGCACAAACAAAAGTTATATTTACCTTACTGCATCTTCCTGTCTGAAATCCATTTCTAAATTCTTTACAAACATTATGAAACGATGAATTTCAAGTTGCATTAACAGTAAAGCTTTGGTTTTCAAAACGGACTTTGCACATGTCCTGACCTCAGTCCGTTCCATCCTCTTCTGCAGGTCAGCCACCAGCCTGGCCATGTCCTCATCAGACTCTCTGTCTCCACGGTCTACCTCCTGTCAGCAACACAAACAAGTGCATTAGACATCCACAGATTCAAAATCATCGGACCAAGTGATTGTGGAGACCCTTACTTGTCTTCCACTTTCTTCAGCTCTCTCTTTTTTGAGCTGCTCAATTGCATGCAGTAGACCTCGGTAGTCAGTGATACCGTACATCCGGGCGTATTTCTCATACTCTTTCGGGTCCACGTTTCTCAACAGCTCAACTATGTCAATGTCTTTTTCCTCCTGTGGGCTCTTTTGCTTTGATGGAGTTCTGAGAACAAGGAGATGTCATACATTTTTAAAGATAAACAAAATGACAATGACAAATTGAACGACATTTAAACGACATTTCAGTCTGAATGATTCTGTGTTGTCAGATTCTAAACTCACTTCTTCAGTTTAGCGCGGAGGTCTCCTTCAAGCATCACTACGTCCTTCTTTTCCTCTACGTGCATGTCAGTACTGCACTCGATCTCGCCATGTTTGTTGGAGGCGACACACCTGTACTGACCAGAGTCCGATTTCGTCACTTCTTTGATCTCCAGTTTGGCCTCTTGGCCCTTCTGTTCAATGGAGATCCGGCCACCATGGGTCACTTGCCTCCACTTCCCTTTCATCCACTTCACACTGGGAATGGGGTCACCACCCACCTTTGCGATGAAGGTGGCGGTTCCCTCTGTGAGCAACAGGTAGAGGAGTTAGATCAGAAATGCCTACGTTTTTTACACATTTGGATTGTGCATTGTGCAAATGTTGAGACCCTCACTCTCGGTAACGTGTGCAGTTTTAGGCTCTTCAATGAAGAACAGATTGTCCATTTTTTTGGATGGAGAAGCTGCTGGAGCTTCAGCAGGAGACAGAGCTGCTCCAGGTTTCTCTGCAAGATGACAAACTACAAATGAAAGATTCTCAAAAGCAACAAAAATCTGAATTTTTCAACTTTTGAGAAATAAAAACAATTACAAATAAATAAAATCTTAGAGTACAGATCTGAGGGGATTTAACCTTTTTTTTCTTTTTTACCTTTGACAGTGACTTTGGCTTTGCAGAATTCGCTGCCAGCCTCATTGGTAGCCTTGCAGAGGTAGTCACCAGCATTGAGTTTAGAGACTGTGCTGATCTCCAGACATGCTGTGCCATCAGAAAAGCTGATTCTAGTGCTGCTGGATGGTGTCAACTCCTTCCTGTCCTTCATCCACTGGATCTTCAGAGGGGAAGATCCACAGACATGGCACCTGAGAATTAGCTTTTCGCCGTCATCCACAGTTGCTGGTTTGAGAGGTACATCAAACACTGGGGGCTTCTTGGCCTCTGAAAGAGAGATAAGCCAGTCTGATTTAAATGGTAAAATGGTAAATGGCCTGCATTTGTATAGCGCTTTTCTCGTCCCTAAGGACCCCAAAGCGCTTCACACTACATTCAGTCATTCACCCATTCACACACACATTCACACACTCAGTCAGTCAGTTTAGCTGACTGTACTGCTGTCAGTGCTCAGATTCAGATTCATAAACACATCTGAAGACCTTTAAACAAAGACTTCAAAGTAAATTCGAATAACAGGGTTAAAAAGCAAATATACATGAGGAGAAAAAGTCTGACTTGAAGCCTTCATTAGTTAACAATTTAAGCAAGATGTTTAACCAACAGTCCAAATCATCAAAGATTATAACAATGGAATAAAGAAAACCAGAGACTTCGATAAACATACCAAACCACTAAATAAGTCATTTTTTAATCATTCCTGCTAGCTGTCATTCTGTGAGCATCAATTATGCTTCGACTTTAAATCAAACATACCTGAGATGCCAACAGTGACATCACAGGAGGCTTTCCCAGCTTCATTAGAGGCCTGGCACGAGTACCTTCCGCTGTCAATCACTTGGCTGTTTTTAATGCACAGCACTGCCACATTACTCTTAAAGCTGATGTCATACTTGTCAGAACTCTGTATCTCCATGTCATCTTTGAACCAGCTGACTGAAATGGGCTGCGACCCGGAGACTCTGCCCTCAATCTTCACCAGTTTGCCCTCCATGTCCTCGATGTGCTCTGAGGGCTTTTTGGTGAACACTGGAGGATTTTTGCGCTCTGAAATCAAGACAAGAAAGTAAGAATGATGAGAAGGGGAGCAGCTTTCAAAGACAAAACAATGTCCTTCGAGAGACGTGAATGCTTTAGAAGAGAGAGCCGAGATGGCATGAGTGTGCCCCAGGTTCAAATACCTTTGACAGTGATATCAGAGGAACAAGAGTCCTTCCCCATGTCATTAGAGGCGTGGCAGAAGTACCTCCCTGTATCTGATTTATCTGCCTTCAGAATGGTCAGGTGAGGTGTATTATCCACACAGCTAATCTTATAATTCCCCCCAGAGCGAATATCTTTGTGGTCTTTGGACCAAGTGACTTTAATGGGGGTAGAACCAGTCATGTGACATTCCAGCTCAATGCTGTCACCCACTGTCACCTCCTGTAGTGACAATTTCCTGTCAAATACCGGAGGGTATCTGGGTTCTGCAGAGTGGCGAATGAATGAAAGGAAGATAAAGAACAAATCTTTAGATGGACACGATTAAACAGTTTGGGGCCTTAAACAGCCCAGCACCATCTGACCAAAGTGCTGTCAAAAATAATAAACAAAAGACATTTAGAACGTCTAGAACGTGAAAGAGAAAGGTGGTTAAGTACAACAGAGTGGGGCATTTTCAGAAACGTGAGGAGCAGTGACCAGAAGTCATGAGGTCTCCTAACACAGTTTCACAATAAATAGAAGACTCGTTTTTGTCTAGTCAGAATCAGTAGGTGATGGTGAGATATCTAAACATTAGGCTGTTTGCTTCATAAGCATCCAGTATTAATGAATCAACCATCCAATCATGCGTCACACACCTTGCAGAGTGAGCTTGGCTCTGCATGAAGCTGAGCCCACACTGTTGGTGGCCACGCAAGTGTACTCCCCAGAGTGCCTCATCTCACTGTTGTTGATCTGCAGAACAGCTGTGTTATCATCGTACAGCATGGAAAACTCCTCCCCCTGACTCAGAGGTTTGCTGTCTTTCAGCCAGGACACCTCAATGGGCAATGAGCCAGCCACGCGGCACTCAAAGCGCACTGGCTGGCCCTCAGTTTGCTGCAGGCTGGTGATCTTCTTTGGGAATGATGGTGGCGTTTTAGCTTCTGTAAAAGATAAACACATGGCAGACATTAGTCTGAAAAGCCAGTGATTTTTACAAAGGTATAAATTCAGTAATCTGGAAAACTAGGTTTTACCTTGCACATTGAGTCTGCAGCTGGAGGAAGCAGAGCCAATCCTGTTCTCTGCCTTGCAGGTGTACTCTCCGATATCGGACTTGGTGGCTTTACTTAGCTTCAAACAGGCAACACCCTTTGTGTACTCCAGCTTGCAGGTGGGGCTAGACCTGACTTTGCCATCAGCCTTGAACCAGGACACCTTGATCTCAGGTGTGCCTGCAACCTGACATTTCAGACAGACAGCATCTCCAGCTGTCACCTCCATGGGCTCCAGTGACTCAGTAAAATATGGTGGCTCTGTGTGTGCAAACGCCAGAAAACATAGGGACACACTGTAAATTAAATCAGATCTGCAGGCTTTGGGACAGCTACACATATAATAAGTCTTGCTTTGAGTGTGGTTGTATGTATTATTGCTTATAGATTAACCTATCAGGCTTTTCCTCATCATATAGTCTTATATGCAATTTTACTGAATAAAAGTGGGCGACTGTAACATCCATAATGCAAAACCTCTGGCTTCTGTATGTTTGAGGTTTCCATATATTTATACCTTTGCAATGTGCTGATATCAGTTTGTTACTTATTACTGCAGGTTTACAACCACTGCACACTGCTTCTAAGTAGAGTCTCCTGATTTGCCTAATCAGAAGGAGAGACTTTGTTGAGGTGGTCGGCTCTGAAGAGAGTATAAAGTTTGACTCTCGATTATTACCTAATTTTTCATTTTCATTTTTCATTCTTTTAACTATTCAGTTTGTGTTGCTCTTTCTATCTAACATTCACACACATTTGTACTCTGGTGGATGCATCGGACGCTTGCCCAAGAATATTTTGCAGGAACAAATCAACAAATGAACCCAAACAGAGTGGGTTCAGTGATCTTGTACTAACCGAGGATAGAAACCACTGCCTCACACGTGTCTTTCCCAGCATCGTTGCACACTTGGCAGCAGTATTTTCCTGCAGCCTCCTTGTCATCAGTGCTGAGACACTCTAAGATACAGGAGCTTTCTGTTGTGGTAATGTTGTATTTGTATGAAGCAAAGATCTGCTGGCCATCTTTGTACCAGCTCACAGTGATCATGGGGGTGCCCGTGTATGTACACTCCAGGGTTAATGGTTTGCCCTTCTCAACTGATATGTCCTTCAGCTTCTTTGAGAAAGTTGCTGGCTCTGAAAAACACAATATGTTATTAAAATGATTGCGTTAGAAGAAATTTATAGACAAGAAAAACCTAAAGTCGATTGCATTTAACTAATTAATGTTGCTAACAGAAAGGGGTGTGGTGCCACTGAAAAGATATTTGCCCCTTTCCTGATCTTAAAATATCTGTCACACGTACGTGTTTTAATATTAACCAAAGGTAACAAAGTTACCCAAACCTTACCTGGGATTAACCACATTTTAAAAATATATATATTTTTAGTGAAATAAGAAATAAGTTCTTTCTGGCCAACCTTTGACAGTGAGATTCACTGGATAGCTTTCTTTTCCTGCGTCATTAATGATCTGACAGGTGTACTCTCCAGCATGAGATTTGTCCACGTTGTAAAGCTCTAATAGAACTTTGTTATCATCCAGGGAGAAATCGTAGCCATGTCCAGCTACGATCTCTTTCGTCCCTCTGAACCACTTGAGTTTGAGAGGGGCGCTGCCTTTCACCATGGCTGAGAACGTCACATTAGAGCCTGGCATGGCCTCCACTGGCTGCGGTGGCACCACAAACGTTGGAGGTTCTGGGTCCAAACAGAAATATCAAACATTTCTATCAGACATAGAATTGTCAGGGCAATAACAGAACGGGCTAAAACGATAAGATGACTGCATTACAATCTGAATTGTTGCCAAAAGCTGTGATTTTTGCCTCAGTGAATAATAAAGGATTCTGATTCTGCTTCTATCTTAACTGTTTAATAAAGGTATTGGGGGGCAGGAGGTGGGGCCCGTCACATGTGTGGGCACCACAGAGGACAGGTGGTCTCCTGTGGGGTGCTTGTATCTTTTCCCAACCTGGTTGGTACAGTGGTCCAGACAAGTCAAACACCTTGCAACCAAAGAAAACATCAGCAAGTAGAAAACTGCAAAAATAATGTTCACAGTGGAATAAAACAAAACCTCACAAAAACAATATTGATTTAAAGGAGACAATAATGTGACGGAACAGCTGAGAAGGTGACTGATAGCAAATGTGTATCTACAGGATTGCATGAATCATGTGTTGAGCACACACATTACTCCAACACTTCTTTCAATCCACAGCTCTTGTCTCGCCTAAATAATTTTTAATGTAATTATATTTCCATTTGTTTTGTGTGCTTTTGCTGCAATTGTCTATTTGCTGGTGTTTTCTTAGGTTGCAGTGCATTTGAACCTGCAGAGCCACTGGGAGTGGGGTCTGCAAGTACTGAACACTATATTTTAGGGTCTTTACCTTACAATATAAAGCACCTTGAGGCAACTGTTGTTATAATTTGGTGCTTTATGAATAAATAAAATTTTATTGAATTCTGTTATTGTGAATTTTGATATAAAACACCACCTGTTACGCCTGAAACCGTTTTCTAACATTCTAACAACAGTCAAAATCCAAGAATATATCAGATACATTCTGCATAAACATGGATTTTTACAAGTTTATCAGTTCACTATTTTTAACACATTTTTTATGATTAGTCTGTCAGGATGTAAGTACAAAGACAGTAATCAAAGAACATTGTCACTTTAGATTTGATTTGTGATGTTGCAGAGCTCTGTGTGCATACTCTGATGAGAACAGACACAGATGGTTTTGTGCATGGACTGTAGGATTTATTTGTCACAGAACTGTTTTTCATTGTAAATGGTAAATGGCCTGTATTTGTATAGTGCTTTATTTAGTCCCTGTGGACCCCAAAGCGCTTTACAGTCAGTCATTCACACACTGGTGATGGCAGCTACATTGTAGCCACAGCTGCCCAGGGGCGCACTGACAGAGGCGAGGCTGCCGGACACTGGCGCCACCGGGCCCTCTGACCCGTAGGTAACGGGTGAAGTGTCTTGCCCAGGGACACAACGACCGAGACTGTCGGTAAAGTGTGTTGGAGATAACCTCACAGGTGACACACTTGGCGTTTTTTTGCTGGCTTGTCGGTAGCAGCTCCTGAAACGCAAGTGTGCCACACATCTGTTCGACCAAATCCAGTTAATCTAAGCGCCAGTTAATCTGGAACAGCGGCCGCCGGTCCGAGTGTCAGGTGAACTGAACTTCAGGTAAGAAGTTATGACCTGCAGTCTATCTGGGTCAGATATCAACCAAGTTTAGGTGGAGTTTATTTTCCTTATGCTGACTCTTTACAGTCAGTTACAATAACTCGTACTGCGTGCTAGCTAGCATGACGAACTTTTTATACAGCTGGGTGGGTGCTATGATGTTACTGATAGTGAACTTTATTCATAAGGTTAGTTAGTAGAGTTGCCAACCGTCCCGTAAAAATGAAATAGTCCCGCATTCAGAGAAAATGTTACGCGTTTCGTATTGAGCTGAGAAGAGACACAGTTT